TATAATGGTATAAACCCAATATCATTGCGGATTTGTTTGGAATTACTCCTTTGTTTGACAATTCAGCCAGTTTTTCGAGTGGCATTTCAAGTTCATCCGCAGTCGTAATCGAGGGCGAAACGTCTAGGAGCAGCTCAAGGGCTTGAGGCTTCACTTCAGCAACGATGCCTCCGGCCTCAAGGATTCTCATAATCAAGTAATTAACGAACCCTGCGCCAACGTAGAGCATATTTTTATTTAGGAGTCCCCGGAGTAAACCGAGACGTTCCCAGACATGCGGCGCCGAATCTCCCCGGAAACCGACCCCGGTTCTAACAGCGTTAGTAAGTCCGTCCATCACAGCAACGACAACTTCATGAGTGATGGTTCGCTCTCCCATTCCTAGAAATGAACCCTTGGGCCTCCCCATTGTTGATATTCGCGACGAGTTTCCGCATTGTTCCCAAGTGTCGTGATGGTCTATTTTTTTGGGATCAATTGGGCCGATGGTCTTTAGCAGCCGAGCGAAGCTAGCCACCTTCCATTCTTTCGAGCGGTTTCGTGTGCTTTGCAAGATCCAGGCAGCTTCACGAGCATAGCCTCCTTCTACGCAGCACCAGAGAATAAATTCAAGCCAAACACCGAACCCGAGTTCTGTTTTCGAGGAGCGTAACCATTCCATGGACGACTGTTGGTCGGTAGAAGTGGATAATTCCTCCATTCTTGCTTCTAACATCGTGTCTGTCAGAATAGTCATAATACGTGTAGATAGCAGGTGCATTGCTGGTGGGCGTAAGAGCGGATAAGACCCTCGAATTGGTGTATCTTTGTAAACGTTGCTTGGAATGTAGTCTAAGTTGTGTAGACGAGCAACGATATAATAAAAGTGATGCATTATCAACGCCGATTCCTCCTGGCGCATATCTGCCGCCTCGATGATGAAATAACCCAGGCTTTGCCATAGCTCCTCCATGGTCCCAACGCGAAGGTTCGTTTCACCCATTCGAGTTCCCAAAATAGGTTCTTCGGAATAGGAATCGTACGAGTCTAGAGATCGAAAATCGGTACTATCCTGGACAGATATAGCTAGGGTTGGATAAAGCTCATCTCCGGTAATCTCGTCAAACGATCGCCCCATATTTTTCCAATCGATATTCGAAGGGAGATCATTTCGACCGGCATGCTTCGAGCGCAATGCCTCTGCATTATCGAGCAATTTATCCACAAGAGCCCTTACGGCATTCCATCTGTTCATCTTGAAGCCCATATAAGCGAGTAGATCGAAATTCATGAAGGATCTGGCCTGGAAAAGTAACTGTAGTATCGCCTGGCATTGCTCGGCCTCACTCCGCACTCCATCCTCCAAACAATCGACGGAGCCCTCCCGGAAATGCGACGGGAGGAATCTGTCTAAAAAGGGAATCCATTTTGCAATGTCGGTTCGTTCCGATCGAGGAACAGGACAGCGAAGGTGCTTTGCCCTTGAGCGAGGAGGTCTAACGGTGTATGGATGAGAGGAAGGGTTGTTGACGGAGGGGCCGGAGGAAATAGACCTCGCGTTGAAGCCTCTAAATGAAAAAAGAGCCTGACATTTTCGATTAGAGAAACGAAACCCGTGGCCCAGAAGGATTCTACCAGCAGGCCTTAGGCAAATGATCATGACACGACAGCAGGAAGGATCCTGGGAGAAGATCCCAGCTCAACTAAAAAGTCACCCCGAATTGACGTGTATAAACCATGACTAGCCCGTAGTAACACAGTGTTATACGGGTCTGTCGGCGCTGACCATTGCAAAAAGCTGTTTGATTCTCGCAGCTCCAGGCGCATCTCAGCGAAAAATTAACATTTGGCTCAGTAAACTTAGCCAGATGGTTAGTCATCAATGTCAGATAAGATAAGATCAAATCATTATCACGTGATAAATTCCGAGCCGCCAGCAAGCTTTGCCGTGGAGGAAAATACGGGGCATGACGGCTAGTTTCTCCATACAAATGCATAGGCAGCGCACCGACTTATCTGTACTGCAAGACAAATTTATTGACAAAAAGCATTATCCTATAACCAATATCATGACCGCTCATGAGACTCGCCATATACTATACCAGCAGACCGACAGAAACCGACAACAAAATATTAAGAATCCAATGCTCCAGGCAAAAAGAAATACTCCAGGCCATCATAAATCATAAACCGTGAGGATATCAAGATTTGCAAGATCGATAAAGAGCTCTAGCCACTTATTCAATCTCCCTACCATCCAGCTCGTCGTCAAGGTCTTCGCCACCCAGTTCTTGTTCAACCTCGTCGACGACGAAATTTTCATAATCTTCCAGACCTTTTTGGATATGGACTTTGAATCGGATAATATCGTTCAACATGCTCTCGACGCCGGTATGGAGCTCTTCCCGTAAGGCGTTTGCTCGCAGTACCAGCTGCTCGTACTCAATGTTGGTGTTCATTTCCCTCTGTTCCATCAACTGTACGCTCTCTGTCAGACTTGCACGCATTTTGGCGAGTTCCTTTTCCATCTTTTCGATTTGAGCATCTGAGGCCAATTTCTGCGTCATTGTAATTTCTTTAGTTTTTTCGAATTCCTCTTCCGCTGCTCGTCGTTTATGTTCGAGAGCTTCAACTTCGTTCCGCTTCTCCTCCATAGCTTCTTTGATATTGTCTAGCAAGTCCCGACGATTCATATCGTCGTCAAGCGCTACTTTTCGGCGTTCGTATATTTCTTTTCTGAGCGCCACAAAACTACTTCGAACAATACCACGAAGATCCAAGTTTATTAGATTAGCTGGGCTGTACCCCGTGAATGCATCAGCAAGTAATCGATCGCCTTCGGGAGAACCTCGATTTTGGGATCTACCAAGCTGGGATGACGAGAAATTATTTTCGTTGACGTTTAGGCGTAGCTCGTAATCATAATCTTTGGCGTTGACAGCCGTTGAAGGAATCAGCAGGTTTTGGTACCCAAGCGAGTTGTATGTTTTGACGACTTCTTCCAACTCCTCGAGCTTCCGATTGGCCTCTGCCTCTTTTTCCATGACTCTTACGTGGGTTTCTTCTAGCCTGACTAGGATGTCCTCGACGCTCTTTTGAAGTCGATCGCGCTCCGTGTTCATACGGTCGATGTCCTGTATTGTAATACCTTGCTTGTCAACACTCGACTGCAGACTGAGCCGTTCCTCTTCAGCCATTTGAAGCTCGGCATCTACTTTCTTAACCTCCTCATCCAGCAGTTTGATCCGATTATCGTATTTATCAATCTTTCCTTGGACGTTTTGATTATAGTCTTCAAATTTCCGTTTGTCCTCCTCAAGAATTTTAAAATGCTTTTCCAGTTTCGCCATGTCCGGCGCACTTTTCTCGAGCTCTTCGATTTGGTCCCGCAAAGCCCTATTCTCTGCCTCAAGTGTCTGCATTTCTTGGACGTATTTTTCGTTTCCACGCTCAAACTCGGCAGCCATAGCTTCGACGTGGGGAATAAGCCTTTTCTCCGCTACCTCATCGTCTTCATCTTCGCCTCCTTGCAGCCAATCATGGTATGCGCCAGACAAGAAGCGGAAAATGATACGATCTCCTGTCACATCGACACCAGCTTCTGCACACGCATAGTCGTACTGATCCAGATAATACCTTTCCAACATCTGTGCCAACTGCATCATCCAATGAAGCATGCCCAGGAATGTTGGCCAATTCTGGCCCCCAACGGCGGCAAGCTGCGATTTTGTGATACTCTTTTCAAAAGGATATCTTAACTGTTTCAAAATCGGCGGCACTTCAGAATCTATGCTCTTCTGGAACTTGTGTCCTGGATCGATTCTCCTATATAACCATTGGAAAATGTAGTTGAAGTCCTTTTGGGTGGGCGATTTTAGCGTATTCTGCGTCAAGGAATGCTTCATTTCAAGCTCAAAGTTATTATGCGTCAAATATTCCAAAATTTCTTGGCTTATCCGCGCTTGGAAGCTTCGATCTCGCAGCGGGCGGGGGTCGCGTGGTACCCCCGCAGGGACTGGAGTTTGGGCGAAAAAGGACTGGTGAGGTGTAGGCCCCATCGAAGGTCGTGATAGCACACTGCTCCTCCGCTGAAGTTGTGGTGGAGGGGGGGGAGGTGGCATGGATATGGGGGCATAGCTCTGCCGACGTGCGCTTGCGCTGTGAAGAATGTTGCTTGACGCAGAGCGTCGCACGGAGGATAGGGCGCCATCGGGCCCAAAATTTCCGCCCGAAGAGGCCCTCCCAAAGACCGGAGGTTGTAATCGGCTAGCAGACTGAGCAACGGACGTCGAGCGCGAATGTTGTGATGTGTAAGGAGGGTTCTGGAGGTTTGCGACGGAGCTGGTTCGTTTCAGGGCGGAAGATGGCTGAGGGATAGAAGAAAGGTTTTGGACATTTCCAAGAGTCTGCACCAAATGCTACATCAGTATTCATTCATCACAATTTGCTTGAATCGTGTTGTATTGTATCGTCAATGAATTGCGACCATACCTCCCGTGGACGTCGTATGCTGAACAAGCCCGTGTCTTGCGCCATGATCGAGCAGCACGAGAAGATCCACCAACCCAATAATCACAATATTCTGTGCAGCCTAATAGTATAGTCTTCCACAGCTCACAAGAGTTCAAAGTATCCCAAATACACGCGGCACGTCCGGAGAAAACCTAGCTGGTGGTCCGTGGTCGCTGGCGATGCTGATTATTTTGGGTTTCGTCGTAAACAATGCACTTATCAATTACATAATCGGTAAAAACTTGGCAGCGGTTTGGCTACTGTAGTACTCCGTACAGAAGCTAGATCACGGGGTTTCCGGCAAAGGTCCAGCCTCGGCATAACGACTTCTTGGCGTCACGGCAAGCCAGATCCAGTTTGATCTTCCTTTTCTGCCATCAAAGAGCACGACACGGCGAGGGCTTCAGGCGACTACGACGACTCTACTGATTCATTTCGAGCGCTTACAGCTGAGGCGTTAGCAAAAGGCATCATTACCAGCTTGGTTGATTCAATTAGAAACTCTCACAATGGCTCGCGAGGAGCTGATCTCCTCCGCAGTATGTGCTCTTCCCGACTATTTCTCCCCATACCAGCGGATACTAACGATGTTCTGTTTAGGTCTCTTGTATGTATTGTGCTGAATAACTTCTTGCTTGTGGGTTGACGAATACTGATCTAGAACTTGACATTTCATAGTTCTCCAAGATCCCTCGGTTTCTTCCGCACCCCTAGAGAAAAAGATCGCTTTTCTTCAGTCAAAGAATTTAACCAAAGAAGAGATTGACTTGGCTTTTTCGAGAGCAGGTGAAGAAAAGCCGCCCTCGAGCGCCGGGACGAATCAGACCAGCGGATATGTCGCTCAACAACCATCCGTCAGTCGACAGGCGGCGCTGAATCAAGGCTACGCATATGGACCAGCTGGTCAATGGCAGCATCTACAGCCTCCGCCTGAGTAAGTGACCTGCCACAAGTGGTATACATTGCTTTTGTTAAAACACCAGTTAACGAATGATTTACTGTAGGCTTCCCAAGCGAGATTGGCGAGACTGGTTCATCATGGCCACGGTCGTTGGTGGTGTTGGCTATGGTTTATATGTGGTAGCAAAGGTAAATTGGGTGTAATTCTTTACTATGGTAGAGACTGACTATTCGATTGTAGAGATACATCACACCATTAATAGCGCCTCCAACTCCACCTCAACTCCAACAGGACAAAGAGAGTATTGATGAACAATTTTCACGCGCATTCGCGCTTTTAGATCAGCTCTCCTCAGATACTTCGACATTGAAAGCCACAGAAAATGCGCGAACCGAGAGACTGGATGCCGCTCTCCGGGAGGTCGAGGATGTAGTTGCGGAACTGAAGAGTTCTTCTCGTCGGCGCGACGACGAAACCAGACGTATTAGCGAGGAGGTCAGAAGCCTAAAAGATGGAATCCCCAAGGCGATTGAAGGCTCAAGGGAAGGAAACGAGAAACGACTCAGAGATCTTAGTGCAGAACTGAAGAGTTTGAAGATATTACTTGGAAACCGACTTGCCGCGGGTACCAGTACAACTGCTGCCGCCCCTCCTGCCCAGAGCGTACCAAACCAGCCGGAAGCAAACAGCGTGCCAGCTACTTCTCAGGCCCAAACAACCAGCGCGGCCTCTACACCCGCGCAATCGACGTCAGCAACTTCCACAGCCCCTAGCGAAGCTTCGAAGAGTCCATTCGCAGCTCTGGGTAAACCCGCGAGCATTCCTGCATGGCAAATGGCTGCGGCAAGCAAGTCTAAGCCCGCCACAACAACGTCATCCACAGAGAATCCTGGAGAAAGCTCCAGTGCTGGTGCAGATGTTCAGCCGTCCAGCGCTCCCTGAAGCTGAAGGGTTCCCATAGGGCAATTTATTTAGCTTTAATTACTAACGGGTGAAATCTTACAAGAGTCGGATATCGATCCCTAGTGGAACTTCATTTGCTTAGTAGCTGAGCCATTTTTTGGCGATTTCGTCTTCTTGTTCCTTGCATTATCTATATCTTAGTCGTTTTGATAATGTACTATTCTAAGAGCGGCGTATCAATGAAATTCTGCTTTGAACCCCTGGATTCTAGAGTAATTTGTCTCTACTATTCTATCTGCACTTGTTTTAAGACTAATCTACTCAAGAGAAATGTAGTCAAGCTATATTTTATAATGAATAAAATAGGAACGTTGTTCAAAAACAAGTTCAGCGTCGATTCGCCCCCTTGGAGATGGCGCGGTTAAATACCTAGTTCCGGTTTCACTCCCCCTCAAATTGTTTTTAATACCATCTCAACCGTCGGGGGGCAAAAAGGCGTCTTCGAATATCAACCCAATACCGGAAAAGCGCCATGAACCGCCTAAGACATTCCAGATTATCCCCGTCTTTCTCTCGATCTCGCTCCCGCTCCCCGCGCGGGTCAAGTAATCGACATTTCAATCGCCGTAGACGAGACACTCCAAAAAGCAGCCATGCCGACTCAGCACGGCCATCTCTACCTTTCAGCGCAATGTCACTATCAAAGCGCGACTTAGCGCACTACGAACCGATGTTCGCGATGTACTTAGATATCCAGAAAGGTATCGATTTGGCGGAACTCAGTGAGCGGGAAACCAAAGGAAGATGGAAGAGTTTCATTGGCAAATGGTAAATGACGATTCTCTCCCTAGATATTTCCATTCCTCTAACAAAGTTATTCTCCTTTTCTCTTCCCGTCTATCTTTCTAGAAATGCATATGTTTCTTTTGTCAGAAAACCACGTACTGACGTACTTGAGGAACCGTGGAGAACTCGCAGAAGGGTGGTACGATCCTAAGACCTTTGAGAAAGCTCGAGACAGCGCCTTCAGCAGAGGCTCAGTTAACGCCCGTAGCGCTGTGGGTCTTTCAGGACGGCAATCCTCATCCTATAATGAATACAGTGGGAGGAATCGCTCAACTACACGAAGGGATACTAGGGGCTCTTTACCATACGATCATGCAAGGGCTACCCAGATATCAGAACAGCTGGGCCCCCCAGACAAAACTTCAGAAGGCTCCGAAGAGGAAGAAGAGGAAGAGGAGGGGTCCTACGGTCCTCAAGTACCTACCGAGAATGCAGCCTTATCAGTATACCGTGATGATGTACGACGCGTTGATAAATCCGGCCCTAAAGTTCCTACCATGCAAGACCTTCAACTTCGTCGAGGTAAGCATTTATATTTAATACCTACTATTCTCCTATCTTATAAAAGCACCCTCCGGTTAACCAAAACGTAATACAGAGGACCAACTCTCTTCCGCCCAAGAAGCCTGTGAAGAAGCCCGCATTTCCCACAAACACTCCCTAAAATCGCACAAATCCGAACTCCGCCGGTTCGAAGACGAAATTGCTCCGCGCGCCGAACCAGGGACCCACGAACGCCGTGTGGAAAAACGCCGCGAGGCAGCATTCGCCAATCGAGAATTTGCGGAATCCCGTCGAGGCGCATCTCCCGGTGAAGCACCAGATGCAGAGCTAATGGGTGGCGCGAGTGACCTGGAGATGTTGAAGCGCGAGCGTGAAAAAGAAATGCGGAAGAAGAATGAAAGAGAGATCAGAAAGGAAGAGATTCTGCGGGCACGAGCAGCAGAACGTGAAGAGAGACTCAAATCCTATCGAAAGAAAGAAGAGGAGACCATGACGTATCTTCGTGCTCTTGCGAAAGAGAAGTTCGGATGATTGTGTTAATATCATTCTAGTGATTTAAGACAAGGAACTTGTGCCCTCAATTATGCCAGGATATCTGTAATTCGAAGCAGTATAGCTACACGTTGTTCACTACACCCAAGGATAGTTTCGTGTCTCTTTACACAGAAGATTACTTATATCAAAACGCTTGGTTTTTTACAGAAATATATATTGTCTGGAAGCTACATATACTACCCTAAATTAATGTCAATGAACATATCGCTTACCACTTAATTCAAAGTTTTAGGGAATAGTGTTTCAAGAAAGCAGCTTGTCGAGGTAGATCCCAAATTTGTTTCATACGATCGTAATAGAGCGTGATTTTCGGGAAGGGAAATTCTACAGCGGAGCTGACGGGGTTCTAGGTGCTGATCGGGAACCGACTTCATTCTCGTTCCAGTATCGAGGCAGTTTATATGCCACATTTTGCATCCATTTGATCCGAAGACCGCATGCCATCCGTGCCAGACTGGGTACTCGCAGTTGTTCTCATTTCCTTTCTTCTCCGCCAATTATTTCGACGACGGCGGCGGCGGTGTTTCCTAAGAGGGATCTCGTTGGTTTTGGCCGCAGGTTCCTGGCTAATAGGAATGCCATGGCGGGAAACTGGGGAGCTCTCCAATCCTCTGTCCACATCTCCAGAGTCTCCACTCATACCAACCATAAGGCCCGCCGGTTCACTCTTTGACAGTTCTCGACGGATAATATTTTTCTTTGCATGGTTTCCTATGGCCCCCAAGACCTCTTCAATAACGCTATGGTGCTGTTCACTTCCTACTGGGAATCGTTCTCCAGAAGATATTGCGATCAGTTTAACACCGTTGCCCGGCATATCATTGAGGGGAGGACATGTGGGCATGTGACCATCGTCAATTTTTCGTTTTGGTTCAGAAGGCTTACTCTCCTCATAGCCGGTGCATATCTCTACACTTTCTCCAGTATCGCTTGCGTAACCACTAGGCGGGTGGTCAGTATAACGTTGGTTAGAAGCGCTGCGATTCGCGTCGACTTGAATATAGTAAGGGTGCAAGGGCCCTGAAACATAATTTTGAAACGCTCGAGGGACGAATTCAGGGGCTTCCGGCTTCAGAATCCTGCTAGGGTGGGCCATTCTTTTCGACGTCTCCATTGCAGACGAAATTATATTCAAGCAGTTACCACAACGTTCACACAATTCATCTTGGTCAATCAGATCCTGCGGCGGTATTTCGGATTCTGCAGCGTAATATGCTATGCCCGAACGTTCGGCGTTAGAAATTTGGGCAGAGTTATTGCCAGCAGGATCCTGCAGTCGCATCGGCAGGGCGCTATTCTCCATTGTCGCCTCTAGAGGATTTATATCGTTAATAATAACTTGAGACTGCTTGTCCTTCGGCCCTTCAGTGGTGAACCCTTGCCAGCTGCACAAGCGGTGGTAGTAGCTCCTGTTCTCCAAAAGCTCGGGATGAGTTCCTCTTTCAACAATTTCACCGTCGTTGACTACCAATATCTGATCAGCATTCATGATGGTGGAAAGTCGATGTCTAGTAAGAACATTAGCATTTATGGTATTGTATTCCATTGGACAGACTTCGAAAAAACGTACGCAATAACAATCGTGGTCCGACCCGCACAGAGCATCTTCAGGCTCCTCTGTACATGGGCTTCTGTCTCGCTATCCACACTGCTGGTAGCCTCGTCCAGGAGCACTATTTTCGGATTCTTAATCATGGCTCGTGCGATGGCGACGCGCTGTAATTCTCCGCCGGATAATTTCATGCCACGTTCTCCAACCACAGTGTCATAACCATGAGGGAAGCTCATGATTTTTTCATGAAGGGCGACAGCTTTACAGGCTTCTACAATCTCCTCGTCAGCAGCACCAAGACTGGCATAGCGAATATTAGCCATGATTGAATCATGGAATAATACAGGATCCTGGGGAACAACGCCCAAAACTTCCCGCAGGCTACTAAGAGCAACCTTTGAAGTGTTTTGCCCGTCAATGTTGATAGCCCCTGCGACAGGATCATAGAATCGGCAAAGCAACTTTAAGATAGTCGATTTCCCTCCTCCGGTTTTTCCAACAATTGCGGTAATTTTTCCAGCAGGGGCCCGGAACGTAACATTCTTCAAGACTTCTCTCTTGCCATCATAGGAGAATCTGACTCCATCAAACTCGATATTACCGTCGTCGAAAACCAGGGGCTTAGCACCGGGGATATCAGAGACAGTAGGCTTCTGCTGCAACAGAACAAGCAGCTCTTCTGCATCAACCATATCTCGGACAATACCTGCAAATCCATTGGCAAGTGACTGGAGGGGATTAGATAGCTGGGCCCAATAGCTGAGCATCATTACGAAGCTTCCAATGGGTTTTGAACCCGTTGCCACTCCATAGGCGGCGATAAAACAAGCCGCCATAAGCCCCGACAAAAGGACAAGTGACTGAATACTATTTTCAATGCCGCTCCAAAGCCTGAAGCCCACCCGTGACTTCAAGTGGTCTTTAACAGATGAACGATATCGAAGTTCCTCATATGGCACGCGATTGAAATATGCAACGGTCTTCCAGTTAGCGGTTGACTCACAAAGAATCGAAAATTCCTTCATTCGCTTATCGATCCAGTCCCTTTGTTTATTCTTCTGTCGGTCGATTATTTTGCCAGATGTCCATAAAAACATCACAGTAACCGTTGCCGTTATCAATGCCATATAGGCATCAAAAAGATAGTAAAGAATACTGACAGCCAATGCCAGATCGACTATGGTCGGAATGAGGATGAAGCAAATGTGGTTGACTGCATCTTTAACCTGCTGGGCACGCACAATGGTTTCCCATACCGCGCCAGATACTTTGCTGTCATGAAAGTCGCATGACAGGGACATAATATGATTGAAAGCTGTCGTGCTAACTTTTTGGTACGAAAGATCCTCGAGTGGCATCCACATAAAGGACCTCAGGGCTGATAAGCCACCGCTAGAATGGAGTAAACGTAGGCCAATGAAGACCGTTATTTCTTTCCAAGGGATCGACCCTACTGCACTGTCAATAACACACCCCGAAAACCTGTATAGTAAGCTTGAATATCCAAAATTTCTTACCATCGGACTTTGTTAGAAGATTCGTTATCAATCCAAGTTGTAACGGAATGATTACGTTCATGATACGCTCGACCACTAAGCATCCTCCAATGCCTAGATAGAGAAGCTGGTAGGCAGGCTTCCCCGAGGGCCAGAAGAACGGCAAAAAGGACTATGACATAAATTAGGGCCTGTTCACCTTCATGAGAAAACACACATACCCTAAGAAACTCCACAATATGCCAAAAAGTCCTTTCATCTTCTTCATTCGTTAGACTGTCCTCAGTGCTGTCTCCGTTCTGGCTTTTAGATTTAGCTGATATATTGACATCGAGCTGGGCTGATTCATCAGCCCGTGAATAGCAAGAGCCGTACGATGGACGAGTAGATTGTGAATCTTGTTGTGTAACCTCCTGGGCTGATAATAAGGGCGTAGCTTCTTCATCTGGCTGTTTTTCTTCTGTCGGCACAAAATGAGAGCGCAGAGCTGCTAGGACAAGCGTCACAAGCAAAGCGAACCGACAAGCTACCAGTAAGACTTCTGTGTCTATGCGTGGAAGATGTATTTTTAGGGACACCTGGAGAAGTAAGCCTTCACCTGCCAAATAGGCTATCCAGGTCCCGTAAAACGGATACGTTGCTGGCCCTGCTAAATCAAGGAACCATAGAAAGTTTATGAACCAGAGCAGGCTCGACGCCCAGGAGTAGAACTGCATGAGTACAATTATCAGCTGCCTCCACATTGTAGGTATTGCCTCAGCATCACTCACAAGTCTACCTGGCACTGTTGGGGGCCTAATTTCCGGGATAAAGGTAAAGGTTGAAATTATAGCATCGGCTACCTGCAGCGCACATACTGATTATCAGCACATCATGATCCCGTAAAAAAGAGCATGATTCTGGCAGAGTCTCACATAGCTAAAGAATATAGTCACCACACAAATCCCGACTGTAAACCTCCAACGCCGTTTTGACCGGCTGGGATTCAGCCTTTCCTTGGGAGCTATTATAGATCGAATGCCAGTGGCAATGAAGAAAAAACATGCGGAGACAAGGGGTAACACCGAATAGAGCACTTTCACGAGAGCCAACTCGAAGCCCGAGGGAATTCCGGCCATATCTAATCACGTATTTATCAAGAACAATCAAGAATGCAAAGGGCAACACCCATAAATTAAGATGCAAAAAGATGTAAAAAGGTCTCAACCACCGTCAAGAAGAGCTCTACAGAATGCTAAAAAGCCAGGCGATGACTGGAGGAGTGAAGGCCTCATGGACTCCTCAGTTGGGGCGGGAGAATCCGTGGTGATGGGCGGGTGAAGATGGAATAAAGCGAAAGGCGGACGGTGAGGATGTCAGCGGCAGACGCAGAAGAGGAAGGCACGACGTGCAGACGAGCCTCATCCGCTTATTGGCTTATTATGGAAAGCGCAAAAAGCGGAGGGCAAGAGCGAGGCAAACGAGGGGGAAAGCGTACAGAAGCAGAAGGCACAGGCTATATCGCAGCGGTCTTACTCTAACAGGAAAGTCCGCCAGAGCAGGCCAGGGCGGCGCTTCGCACGACAAGGTTGCGGCCAGCAGGCACCTCACGGGAGCATCGTGGGATGGACTGGTGAAAGGCGAAAAGGATATCCGACAGCCAGCTTCTGCTCCCCCAGAGTTCGTGTCTATATTGGAGCGGAGTGATCAAACGAACAAAGGCAGCTCTCTTCTCCTTGGAGAACCACGCATTCCCACCTCTATTCCGTCCCTGCGGATGGGAGATCCCTCACGGAATGTCACCCTGCTTGAGCCCTTTTGAGATACGTTGAGTCCCCAAACAAGTTGCGGAGGCGAAGATGCAACAGGGTATAGCTAGCGCAGCATTAAATATTAAATATTATATTACCAGGCTGAGAATCAAAGCCTCTAAAGCTGATTCTCACAGGACGAAAAGAATCACTGGATACCGAACGAGCGAGTGGCAACAGTGCTCAAGAACAGAAACTTGATCCACACAAACATTGCTGGAATCTCGAAAGCTGAGAGAGAAAAAAAAATTGTGTCAAACCCCTAGAAAAACGTCAAGCAGGCCCAGCAAATCCAATAATAACGAAGAGTTCTGGCTCCTTGCTTGGTGACCAGTTACGCTTCTAGCCGCGACACCCCATCGATTCAACAGAAATATGCTTAAAGATGGTAACTAAGTGGAGCGGGACATCCTAGATCCCTGCACGCCCCTGCGAACCCCGTCCATTGGCAGTCGTTGCCAGGACCCCGGATTGTCCACTACTGGGAGCTGTGGAAGTTTAAACCCGAGCAGCAGTTGATATGATGGATGGATTCCAATCACGAGGGACGCTGGTGAACAACAGAGGACGAGCGAGCCACGGAGCAGGGAGGGCTTGGCAAAATAAAGACACGAGGAGTTTAACACAACCCTATCATGAGGAGTTAAACTTTCGCACTCGAAGTAGTAGTGAACTTGCTAGACAACAGTCTGCCATAGTTACGCTTACATGTTCTTCAAGGGGAAACAACGAAGCAATCGGCTGAGCCGTCCGAGCGCACTGCTGCATTCTTGGAAAACTCAACCCAGGAGCCGAGGACCGTTGCTGGTTAAGGAAGCAAAGTCCGAAATTCAGAAGGATGGCCACATAGCCAACAATTGCCAACAGTTTGGGAGACATGTGGCGCAACAATGTTGATGAAAAGTGCAAGCGGCACAATTGTGGTTGCAGCAACTCCTACGAGGGGGCTTACAAACATTCCATCTGGCAAGTTTTGATTGCTATCTTGATTCCGGAATCGCATGCTCAGAGGCTTTTGCCTTTTCTACGTCGATGAGCGAAGGCAAAATGATTCTCTTTTCTTTTAATCAAACGCCAAATCATGGGATGCTCGCGTGAAATCGTCCAGTATAGCGATCGCCATACTCGATGGCAGCCAGAAAACGAAGGAGCGAATTCATGCAGTCGAAACTGCACCTGCTGGTATCTTGGCGGGCCAGAATACTGGGACGTTAAAGAAACTTCCTATTACATGTTAAGGCCATGGACTCGGGCCCGAATTGATGCCCATGTACGGAGTAGTGTGGTCATCGTCAAAGTGTCCGTGCGAGCAAGATGCCACAGGATTATACCTGGAAACGGCATCCATGGGTCGCTGATCCTGCGGACATATTGGTCTCACGGAGCCAGTATCCTTCTAAGGGTGGCTTACCTCTCTACCCCTTCCATCCCTTTCCCTAGCGAAAGATTCCCAGTAGGAATATTCTGAATCACAAATCGATGCCAAATGGCTTAGTAAAGCTGGTAGCGGTATTGACTTTTGGTCTCGGTCTCGAAGTGTCTCAACTTGGGTGTGTAACTATTTGAGGGGTGTTACACAGGAAGTACCCAGCAATCCAGCTACGCAACGAATACAAACTCAGAAGCTAGGGATACGGTCTTCTGGATTGATCTCCATCCAATATAACATACTTCCAGGGTCTACGCTATGGATCATCATCATCCACAGGGTCAAGGTCTCTGGAATCTACTGCCTGCCGTACGCATTGTTGCTCATACCAACCCAAGTTCAGATCCCCGTCAGAGGCGACAAGGTATATTTGAAACCGGCGCCGTCTTCTCAATGCTCACTGGCGGAACCATGTGTAGGGACAATAGCCGCTGAAAGAAAATTTGAACATCAGAGAGCGATTTCCCGCTCAGCTATGTGGAGAGGGTAAGACAGTTTGGATGCATCTTGTGCTTTGATGGCCTATCTGCAATTGCACAGGTTTCAACTACAATGTCACATTGCGGATCAGCAGCCCACATCATCATCCAATGTCAATTGATGGAACACTTCAAAAGGAAACACTTGCATGTACTACGTAGTCAGGACTAGAAAGGTGATGAAGATAAGAACATGACGCAAGACATGCTTTACAAACTTCGGTGGCTTCATGATATATTGATGTATATTGACCGTTCCGTCTATTCGAAAGGCCAGTTCTAATAGAGTCCAGGCCAAACAGAGCAGAGCTGTGCCGCTAAGTACGCAAAGACATGAGAAGTTGTCCATGCTGCCCGCAGTTAGCATCAAGGAATGCAATTCACTGCTTTCTCTCCTCCTTTTGCCTCCTGCAACCCTGTTGTTAACAACGTAGTTAACTTGAATACCTACGGAGTAACCAAGAGAGGGTTTAACATACCGTGTGAGTAACTAACTAGCTAAGGAGGCTTGTGTTCTGTATACTCCGTACAGTAATGCCAAAGCCAAATCATGGCATGCTTAAATAAATGCGTATTATTTAACTTGAAAGATGACAGCCCGGTCTCAACATGAACAGGCAGCAATTATAACTCCTTACAGAGTAGTATACCAGTATGCAGTGAGGGGAATAATTCTTTGATTGAGCGGAGGAGAAGCGCAGAGCCAGCCCCTCCAATTTTTGAGTTTGTCGGTTGAGCTGCCCCTACGAAGGCTGTTCCCGCCCTCTCACTGGCACGATCATAGCATTTATGGGGCCCAACTACTTGGTGTAGAGCTATAAAGCTGAAAGATTAGGTTTCTTTCTCCTAAGTGGTAGCTAGCTAAAGACATCCATTATTTATCAATCTCGCCATTGGCACGATGTCTCCAATATTACTGGCCCTGTTCCTTGGCCAGTGCGAAACTCGACCTGCAACCTCCTCGACGCTCTTCCTCCGCTGCGCACCTCCAAGCGTGCGACCAAAGCGAAACCAGCGTGATTGAGTATGAGTTTGGTGGAGTTTGAGCGAAGTGCGGGCTCTTCCCTACACTGCCACGTTCGTCGTTTCTTTTTCGAATCCCTCTGATAGTCGCAAATGGCTGACATTTATTCGTATACAAAGGTTACGGTCAAAACAGCGGGTTAATGGGTTGGAAGCGCAGCTCATGGATTCAGACCGCTCCGTCGAGACTATACCCCTCATACCCAAGGCCGTTATCTAGGACTTCGAAACAATCCGAACCGAATGGGGAGATAGAAGATGTCGAGAGAGAGTATAACCCGCACGGCTCACACTGGACACAATTGCATGATATACATTCTATCTTCTACTTCATCAGCCGCATGCGCGCCTCCTCGAACCATGTCCTCTAACTAACTTGCTTCGCCGATAATACGTTCCCCACTTTAGCTAGCAGGATGTTAAGGAATCTGCTGCCCTTTCAGAGAAATAGCGATCATTTGGAGGAAGCCTCTGTTCCTGTATACTTTATTGCTTGTGACTACCTCGCAGGCACACAGGACGACCATCTGGAATTGTTCTGGCAACCATACCACTGTGCGGTACGGATTGTCGATGAGGCCAACTCCGGGGATTACGACAATCATCGTCGCAAACTTCCTCAACTTTTCTGAACTCGCCTGCCTTGCTTTCGCCTTGTGGATGCGGTATGGGCTGGAAACTGCACCCCAAGACAATCAACTACGATGAGGCCAAAAGCCCATGTGGACAGTAATGATGCGACCATCGTTGTGTGATGACGCCATAACAGCTCTCAAACAGGTCTAAAACTCTTCGGAGTTCAGGGGTGGAAACTCTATCTATAGCGACCTGACAATGTCGAAAATTTTCCAAAATTTTCCTTGATGGCGCCTCCTTCCAAACCATGGACCACAGAGCTAGGACTTTGGCCTTCGCCGCGAAGATAGCCGACATCTAGGCTCTTACCTCGAGCTCCCAACGCCAGACGGAGTTGTGCAAGCGGTTGTGGTGACCTACATATCATCGAAATGACGGCGTGTATGAGCTTCAGACGAGCCTCCCACGTCCCACGTATTCTGCCATCTACCGGTTGACAATCTCGACGGCCTTCCTAGACCCAAATTTCGCTTCTTATGGCGGCAATGTGACGCGGCTTGCATACTCCCTGTTGAATACGAAGTTAGGCTTGGCTGTTTATACAGTTTACACCGCCTTCTGGGATAAGTGTGTCGACACGGTGGGTGCCAACAGTGAAGGTCTGCATAGAGACCGTCAATCCTTTGAAGCCCCGCGCCGGATTCCCCGGATTTTAAGATGCAATCTCCCAAAAGCTAGTTAGTTGAAGTACGTTACGGAATGAAGACCGAGCGAAAAATATCCAGGGAATAATTCCTGACAGACAAACCGCCTCTTGATGGAGAGGTATTCGCTCTGATGTGGCTGCAACATCAGCTCATGTTCTCGAACTCGTCTACCACAATCTTCCGATGGACCTTTTTAACCTGCTGCTCACCGGCCGCATTGACGATTCCGATCTCGTCGTTCGGCTCTTCAACTGGACACCAGTCTCCGCAAAGCACGTAGTCTCGTGCGTTGACTACATAACCGTCGCTGCGCATATTGTACGGGACGCTGGCACACCTAACCGTAGCGGCAGGCATGAAGCCTTCGCAGGAAAATGCAAAGCAATGGTTTCATCCTAGCATGTCCAATCGCACCTGCAGCGGTTTTTGCCCACACCGTGATCAACAGCGAATGGACCATCCTCAAGAAGTCAGGTGGCAACATGGCGGTATTTGCAACCTCGTCGAACTTTCTTGGTGATCGTCTCTATACTGGATTGGCGGTATCGACTCCGTGTTTTCCGAGAAGTTTGAACCATATACTAACAAGGGCGCCACTGGTAAGGAGTAACAACAGAAATGACCAACAAGTAGTTATAATCACCATTCTGCACACCAAACCGTCTTCAATGTTCCAGAACATATTGACTAATATCGTTGGTTTGGATGCTTCTATCCATTCGTTATTAACTACAAGCGCTGTACACCAGAGAGAATAGCATAGGGTCTTCCTTGATGGCCACCACATACGTGTGTTACATTGCTACCGAGCTGACTTTATCAAACGTGAGTGAACTAAGTTCATGAGTAGCTTATATCGGGTACTCGACCATGCGTTTTGCCCATTTTCGATTAATGTGACCTAGGGTTCGGAGTGAACCTCGCTTTCAACCTCATCGACTTCCAAGGCCTACAGCCTCTCTGCTGATAACCCTAGGCAACCTCTGGGCTGAAGTTTACTTTCTCTCTCTCGAAAGCGACCCATAGGTATGTTCCCTTTGCACAATCCTACTCCATGGTAATCACGGCCCTAAACCGAACCGTCCCTTTCAACATTGCCTCTAAGGGAGAAGTCAGCAGGGGCACCGGGACCAATTAGTTCTTATGTGAATTCTTACCAAATGCATCATTTGCCCTTGCTAGAGGGAATGTTTCGACCATGCAGTTGATGTTTTGTAACTCTGTGAATGCAATTGCTTCCTCTGAATCAGTAGCATGCCCTGAAGGCCAGGCGTGGATGGAAAGACCGGAAACGACCTATTTCAGGTGGCAAAGCATCAGAAACATTTTTTTGCTCGAGACCTCCCGTACGGACTACTCACCATGAGACTACTATTAATGGTTACTTCGCCAGGTCCTATTCATGCAGCAATGGTTATTACCCTGGGTCTAGACATTGGCTCTCCCCCCTCCGGGTCCGTGAAGCCTTACTTCCTAGCTTCTCGTGTCACCATCACAGAACAAATTGGAGGACTCACCGCTTAGCATTAGTAGCTTCCCTCGCGCCTCTAGCCCATTTAATAGTGGGTTCACAACATCTGCGTTTGGCGCTGTTAAGACAATCATTGAGGCTTTCCCAAGCCTCCGCAACGCTTTGCTAACATCTTCTTTGCTCGTGTCGATGTACTCATGTGCACCCAACGCTCGGGCGAACTTCTCCTTCTTGCTGTCCCGTGATATCGCGACTACACGGTATCCAAATCTGTTCGCACACTGGATTGCGAGGTGGCCAAGCCCGCCCAAGCCCTGGATGGCAACAGTTTCACCGGGAGGAACATTCATATGACGCATTGAGTTGAAGACCGTCACCCCAGCGCATAGAATGGGGGCATACTTGGCTGCGTCGATATGATCAGGCACACGAACGGCAGCTTCAGCGCGGAGGGTACAATATTCGGCATCTTCACAGTATTGGTACTGTCAGTATTGATGGCCTTTTCCTACCAATACGCCACATTTGAAAAGGAAGCATGAGAGCCACGCACATCCACCGCTTCTAGTTTCGCCATTGATCAGCTTGTTGGAGCACATTTGGAACAGGCCTTTCTTGCACGACTTGCAGGTTCCTGTCCAGAGACGTAACAATCAGTGTTTGGCTCCCCCTTTAGATTTCGGAAAAGGGAAAGAGGGTTCTAGGAGCATACCATCATGCGCTCCATGCCACCCACCCCCAATTCGATCACCCAGTCCCCACCCAGACACTCCATCTCCGACAGCAGCAACTCGTCCAATGATCTCATGGCCTGGGACGATTGGACTAAAGGGAGGCATGAGTCAGCCATGTCATATTTAAACCCAAGCAAAAATATGACCTACAATCCGCCTCCCAGCATATTCTTTTGCGCATAAGTATCCGAGAAGCAGACACCGCAGGCCTCAACCTTGACCAAGACTTCACCGGGACCAGGAAGAGCCAGGGATACCTCTTCAATAACTAGAGGCTTGCCTGCTCCTTTGAAGACTGCTTGTTTGAATGTTTGCGGAAGGGCCATCGTTTTGCTATTGTATACCATGTTGTCAAAAAATGGAAATTGGACAGGAATCGCAAATGCAGCGGAGGCTTTTATACACTAATTGGTATCGACTAGCAAGCGAATTCTTCTCGTCCTTGGCCTTTCTTTATATACAATGCATTTACTCATTTCTGTCTAGGTAGTTCTGTTCGCGGTAAGGAGTTTACGGGGTTATGCCGGAGGGATGGCCAGTGCATGAGCTGTTGACCTGGGCGGTTAAATAGATCTTCGGACTCAGCTCCCAGTTGTTGTTGGCGAAGGTATCCTTGGCATACGTCGTGGGGGTGTGAGATTGTTAAACCCGCGAGCAAATGGTCGTTCTCTGCCCTTCACCCAGCCAGCCGCTCATGATGCGGCTTGGAGCCGTCGCTTAAAACGGACTAGCGCCAACAACTCAGCTGGAGCTCGCTGCCGGACTTAAACGTCAGCACTCCGGCGATAATGCAGTCGTGCAGATGGTAACAAACAGACGGGTCACAACGGAGATAATCTTTTTTTTTTTTTTTTTTTTTTTTTCGTTGGGGGGGGGGGGATCTTTGTTGTGCACCAAGGACGGTCCAGTCGTTGAAGTCGTGGAGGCGATGAATTGTATCAATTGCAGTTTAGTCATTTTCTAATTAGTACTCCGTACTCCGTATCATATCCAAGCTTCGCCCTCCCATGTGCGTCTTGTTTTGAAGAAAAGAAAAAAAAAAAAAAATACTTAGTAACTCCATGGCAATATGATGTGAGATATTCGACTTCATTTTCTGAGACCCAGATCGAGACTGGTCACTAGACGGAGTCGAGCTTTGCTCTCATCATCCATAGAGTCGGTGGTGGGAGGATCACGATCACTTGCGTTTCCAATCCCGAAAAATGGTTTAACTGCGACCTCCACTACTTCTTCAAATAATGTTCCTACAACTTGGTCTCTGAGCTCTGTTCCAGTCTGCCGAAAATCGGGAAAAGCGTTCAGTTCCAGCAACCAGACGTCACCATGCTCGTCAACTAAAAAGTCGACGCCAAATAATTCAAATGCATTGGGAAGCGTTTGAAAATGCACCATCATCCCCCTGGCTGCAGCTTCAAAAACTTCACCGGTAACAGCACAGATTTGCTCGTAAACACGCGCTTTCCAGTTCGAAGCAATCGAGGGAACACTATCGTCGAGAGCCCAAAAACGGCGGACACTATCAACATTAGCACTTCCGGTTTCGTCCGCCTGAAGACAGGTATTGGTTAGATGACGAGTGAGTTCTTCCACTCCTCCTTTCTCCCACGGCGCAGCATAAGGTTTCTCAGCGAAGAGAGCCAGCATTTCTCTATGGACATAGACCTTTAGGGAGCCTACCGCCAGTGCATACACGCGAATGTGGAATTTCCGGTTGTCCGATGAAGGTAGGAGAAGTGGAGGGTGAATGTAAGGTTGGGCGATGAAATGGCGTAGCTGGGATGTAACAACTCCATTGTCGAGGCGATCGCTGTTATCATTTGAAGAATTAGCCGCACCGTCACTATCCTTTTGCTCTTCGCCTTCGTCTTCAGCTTCTTCTTCATCCTCCTCCTCCTCCCATTCTTCAAATATGGCCTGCAATGAAGATTCGCTATTGAAGAGACGAATGCCTTGGCCCCGATCGCTCATCCCTGGTTTCAAAATCCACCACTCTTTTTCTGATTCTTCTCTCTCTACATTTTTTTCAAAGCTATCCCGCAACTCGTACGCTTCGAGCAATGCCTCGTCCAAAAACTCCGCAAAATCCAGCTCGAATTCTACCGCAGGCTTGAAGTGTTTCCGGAGAATGCTATTAGGATGTTTGATGATCCAATTCGCAACTGTGTTTGACAGATAATGTTTGCGAATGAGTGCTTTTCGAATCACATACGAATTCACTAGGGACGTCGATGGATGTGCAAGCACGTGGTCGAAATCGGACTTCTCATAGACTCGATATTGTAGGACTGGTGAGGAGGGGTTAGGGGGTTTGCATGGCGAGGATGTCAATTGATAAGGTACTCCCTTGAAACCTTTCTGGAGAGCTTCAAGGACAAGGGGTTGAACATATTCGTCATCGCATTCCACTACGGCGTAAATTTTAGGCACACTTCTTTCCCTATAGATAACAACTAGCCAGTTAGAAGGTATGTATTACAAGGCCCTTCTTAACATGGGAGCGAAGGGGAATGTTTAAAACAGGGTGTAATAGGCTATGCATGTCTATGATATCTCGGAGAATGGAAGAATCTATGTTCTATATCTCGTCGAACGCTATCATCTGCACCCAGGATCCAGTACTCACAACTTTATCTCCCCAGTATAACCCTGTGAATGCATGAAATTGGCTTTGAGGGGTGTGACACTGTTGGAAAAAGTGGTCAGCACTCAATACAATTGATAAAAGGGCATGACACTCCTGAGTGTTCCCTTACCTAGTATATCCCATCTTAACGGCCCAGCCATCATTTCCTGGTTCGCTCTCTTCAATACTTTTGTAGACGTCTGTGAACTTGGGTGCCCATTTGAAGTGTCGATGATGATACTTTGGACCAGAAGGTTTCTCGCCAGTTTTCAGCGTCATCTCGCCCTCTCGTAATTGTTGTTCCTGCAAATCCGGGCCCTCGCCGCTTGACTCTGCGTCAATCTCTTCAAAGCAGCTCCCTGATTTCCAACGATTTTCCAAGATAGGTGTGTACAATATCTTAGCGTGCTCCACCCCGGGTTCAAGGGGAACGTTGATGCTATATAATTCCACTCCCTCTCCCCAATTCTTGTACAGATGCTCGATTAGACGAATAGAAAGCCTCGATGCCTCGGCAATAATCACAGGGTCATGGTTCCTAGAGCTAAAAGCGTAAGAAAGGGCAATAGCCTTGACTCCGCACACAGCTGCCTCGAGCCCGCCGCCAATTGTCCCACTCGACAACGAAAACACAGACGTAGTATTTCTTCCATAGTTTGGACCAGAAATAACAAGATCTATGGGCCCCCGGCCTTGGTTGTAATGGAATAAACCAATTTGGACGCAGCTCGCGGGCGTTGAATCAATGAGCATCCATTCATCTCCAACTCCACCGGTTTCGCCGTCGAATTCGCGCGGAAGGTGGTGGATTGTCCCATCATCCTGGTGTAGCGTGCCTGGACGGAAATACATAGGTTTTACGGTTGCGCCGACGAGGTGCGCTTTGCCTATCCATGATCTTTGCCTGTGCGGGAGAACGACGGAGACGGTGTGGCCGGCGGACTGGAGACTGTTGACTAGCGAATGGACGTATGGGGACGACTGGTTTGATGGAGGACCATCATCATTCACAACCTATAATTCAGGAGTTAAATAGTCAGCTTCAAAATTGATTTCAGGGTTCAACGGAGTTACGCAAACTGCCCCTCTTTGGACATGAGCTGACTGACAAGGATGTGCATTTTGTATTTTAGAATCTCCTGTGTGCTCGATTTACCTAGCGTTTGAGACTAGTAGCTTATTTCTCTTTTTCCCTTTTTTTAAAAAAGTTCTTTTTCTTTTTGAAGAGATGCTAATAAATTTGCAGGGGTATGCTCATTGTATGTAGGTTGTCAACTTGGTGTTGGAATCGCATATTTATGAAGAAATGTTGTACCACAGTTTGCCCCCGCTGAGAGAGTTTGATGCAGACACCCTCAAGAATTGCAGGGGAACAGAGGTTTACATCACCATTGCAAAATAAACAAAGCATGAGAAGTAAAGCCTTTTTGCTCCTTTAAAGTCCCTGAATTAAATGCTATGACATAAATGTTTAGAATTGTCGACCTAGGAATATATGTATATATGCAATTGGATGCATACAAAAGAAGAGGATATTAGCTTTCATCCTGATCATCAGGGAGGCGGCCTTTCCGCTGCTGCAAGCGTCCGTATTCCTGGGTGTCCAGACTAGACCTTCGCCTGGACTGCGTGCTTGCGCTGGCACCTCCAGTTTCAGCAGTAGCACCGAAGGTCTCGGGCGCCAGTGGCTCGATCATGGCGGACCCTTCAATTTCCTCCTCTTCCTTTATGGCCTTTGCTGTATCGGCAGCCCTTTTCCCTCTCGGGGTTGTTGGGACGCGGAAGTGGTCCTCGTCGTCGCTTTCCTCCTTGATGGACACATCATCATCCTCAGAGTCCGTCTTCTCAATTTTTGGTTTTATCTGTGTTTGCTGCTGCACAGAATTTAATCCCAACCAAACAGCAGAAGTTGCGGCTACCGATGCGAGCCAGAACATTGAACTAAAGGTCACGAAAGACAAAACCCTCCAGTTATACATCACCCATCTATCGAGTTGTTAGTATAGTTAATCGGCATATCCATTTATGATAAAATCTAAAAAGAAAACTGGACAGAGGGTCAAAGTAAATATATCATACCTCAACCCAGCAAATCTTGCATCAAACCTAATCGTGGCCGTGTAAAAGTGCATACGTTCCCGGGTTTGGATCTCCAATCTCAAGCTCCGCGGGATATGTTTCTTGTCTCTTGGAAATTCAACCCGTTCCATCATATTTATTGTCAATGCCTCCGCCTCACGCTTCCAATTGAACACATAGAATGGCATTCTTGAAACCCTTCGTGTAGTCTCTACCAACGGGGAAGAATATGTGAGTATAGCCGACCTACGAGACCGCACGATTGCAGGGGTGGATATATTTGCAACTAAATCTTGTGGCTCTTCTAAAAGAGCTAGGTCCACCATAAAGTTGCCTTCAGCAAGATTCACAGGAGAACGTGGAAGGCAGAGGATGACGGAAATATCGTAGGCCTGTGAATGAGCCAGTTCGGGTCCAATCACGGCGGTTCCGAAGGGATTGCCATGCCTAAAGGGTTGGGAAACATCCATTCAGCCACTAGATATTTCATAGGGAGCAAGCGGAACTGTAGATTGCAATTTGAAAGCTCCGTCTCCAGACGCGCGTAACTTACCCAAACTGTAGGTGTACCACGCGTTCCAAGCTAATTTGAGGTACAAAATTGTAGTAAAAGACCCAATACGATACAATGGACACGACCAAAAGTCCAAATATCGTTGCTAGAAAGAATAGTGTCCCCAAGTATGCGCGTTGGGCAGGTTTCGAAACGACCGTCTTGAACGGGCTAGTTATTGTCGCCTGGGAGCATCAGTCTGAAAGGTCGAGGGAGATACAAGTGCAAATCTTACCATGAGAGGATTTCTGGGCTTTATGCCCTTTTCTGAATCTGATTCGGCCATTGCATGCTAGATGCAATGTGCCCTCCGGACCAGGAAGGGCGAGAGCTGTTGCTGAGTACATTGGTGAGGTGGTGTGGTGGTGAAGACATGTGATATCATCCCAAAGTCCAAGTTCCTTGACAGGCACTGGGAAGACTCAAACCCGGCATCGAGACCCCAGAGCAAAAGCTACTAGATGTATTTATAGGCCTGAACAATGGTGTGTATTGTACAGTTGTCTTCATTATTTTTAGGAGCCACAACAATTCTTGCAAAATTTGTAAGACCTGATATACATGCCAATGTCACTTTAAAGTAGTGAAAACAGACTTGAGCAAGTTATACTATCGAGAAATTACTTTAAAGAAAATTCATATTGACTGTGGCAACTAACCCCTGATCATGCATGCCCGTCCAAGAACGCAACATAAGTAAAGAACCCAGAGGACCATCCCCATCAACACCGAGAAATCAATAATAGAAAACACAAAAACAGAGAGCCGAATACCGATAATACAGTCCCTGTCCCATAGTCGTTTCGTAAGTACTCATAGTCACATACCGTCCAAGTGACCTTTTTAATAATGAAGCATCTGGTAGAAAGAGTATAGATGGGGGATATGACCCAAAGTTAATTATCGATCCCCAAACCAAACATGTCCAATGAATCTAAGAACTCGGTCGAGGGCTCTGTTGTTGAATGTGTTGAAGAAGTGCTTCGAAGAGACGACCAATCTTTCGAGGACTCAAGTCAGCACCATGCTATAGCATTCCGTAATAATCTTTTTACTGACCTCTGGGGCGGCTTGGATGAATGGTAGGCGGAAGAACGGGTAGCTGCTGTTCTGAAGGAGTTCTTGGAGCGTGATAATCAATCCCCATGGGTGCGGGCGGTGAACGATTAGTCGTTCAAGTAACACCCGGATGATTTGCTCGCGAATGTCCGTCCCTTGCTGATCCGCAGGATAGGATCCAAACAACTCCAGCATTACGTTACTGAAGTAATGGGTGTGGCTATTCGGATACCGTAGTTGGTTTGCAATCGAACTAAGGAAATAATAGCGCCCCTCTGGATTGAGGACCTTCACCAATTTCTCGAGCAAAGCGGACTGTGGCAAGTTATTGGGAGCTGGGGTCCCGGCCTTTTGGCCAGTGGCGGAAACGGCACTTTGACCTGTATAGAGGACGAGCGCTTCCAATAGAACGATGTCAACATTGATAGGGGCGAAGTAAAGGCCGGTGGACTTCTCCGAGGGATTATCAACCGCATCACAAATTTGCTGAACCGCGGAATCCGTCGCCGAGAAACTTCTCAAGGCGTTATCAACAGCATTCTTGATGTTAGCAGCCTGAAGAGGCGCAACAATGTCTCCCGCAATCCTGGGAGCCTGGTGGATTTCATCCAACCGATCAACCTTCAAGCCATCTCTGAAAGGGTCGGGAAGCTTTTGGAAGGAAGATGGGTATGCGCTGAGCACAAGATTACGCAGCTGGCTGCAGTGTGCCGGCATAACTGTGCAAAACCGGAAATGGTTTTCTGCAACAAATTCGGGGAAGTCGTGGTGTAGGATGAGCAAGATCCGCAAAACACCTTTGTACAAGTCCTTTGCCACGAACGAGATATTTCCGGGTTTTAACTGTTCGCCAGTGTATGATAGCATGACCTGGACTATTTCGCAGAATGGCTCCCAGCCCTGGTACTCTAGTTAGCTGTGAATCATTGTTTGTACGCGAGAAATGGACACCTACCGACTGATCTTCCATAGTGAGCATGCCCGCCATAAAGACACGGTGCGAAATCAACGATAACCAACCATAGACAAAGCCTGGACAATGTTTTGGCTGGAGAGACAAGAATTTATCAGAGAATACGCGCATCATTTCCTTATGCTCTTCTCTTTGCTGAAGGCCACTCATGGCATATTCACAGAGGATGCCAGAGAAGAGTCTAAAAAAGACCCGCTGGTTGAAGTTGTCGCCCCGCATCACTTGGTGATGGTTCAAGACCAGCACTAGGAGCGAAAGAATTGAATTAAGATAGGATGGCTTGCTCTTCTTCACAGCACCATCACCGTCACCCTGGAATTTCACCAGCAGGACAACCAGCTTCGCCAACGCATCAATGTAAAGGAAGGCCTCGTCAAGGTTGCCGCCCAAATTCTGATATTCATGCTCGAACATAGCCACAGAGATATCAATGCTCAGTCTGAAAAACAATGCAGAATCTTCTTGGTTATTCATCACTTGTCTCTGATGCATATCTTTAAGGAAGGTGCTGTACATCTTGTCATTCGCTCCGGCAAATTTGTAGACTCCGATCCATTCGCTGAAGATATACTCCATTTGATCCCTCGTGGAGCGAGCTTGGTCGGTAAGGAAAGCGTTCACAGACTCCGGAATACCAGTTTCATGAAGCTTTTGAATAATGTCTTTGGCTACATTGAGATTTGGGTCTTCAATAAGCCACTGATTCATTGCAGCTAAGCTTCCAGAGAAATCGGATCTTAGCGCGGAAGGCTCGTCATTGAAGAGGACTCGAGCCATAAGTGCTGCGAGCAATTCCAGGGCTGCCACATTCTTTTCCTTGATCAGTTTAGCGAGGATCAAATCAACGCGGTGGAGATCTATCAAGCCAGCATCTATTAAAGCCACGGTCACGGGAACATTAAACATTTGCCCGTCTTCAACTTCAGCGAGGACTGCCCATGTGTACCGCGCAACGAGCGATGAGAGCTCACAAATTTTTGAGAGCAAATGGACGAGAACCTCGATTTCCAAAGGCTTTTCGGTCTGAGTATAAAGGGTGCTACAAATTTTGGTTGCGGTTAACCTTGCAAGTTCTTCACCATTGGGTGACGATAAAATCGCACGAAGAATTTGGTTGTATTCCTGTAAGATAGGGCTGTCCCGCCAGAGATCTTTGATATGGTCTTCGGGCGCATCGCGGGCTGCTTGTTGAAGATCACCAACAAGCTTTTCGACCTTTTCACGAGGATTTGCGGATTGCAAGAAACCATTCAATTGAGGCTGTGCATTAGCAATAGTTTGTTGCTGCACGCCGGCATCTTGTTGTGCTTGTGTCATCTGATGAGGAAGAGCTGGCTGTTCCGCGGGGGTGGACAAATTGGGGATGGCAGGAAAACCTTCCTGAAGGACATCTGGCAGCTGTTTGATTGAATCGGTCGAAGTATTTTGGATGTGGTTTTGTCCACGAGATTGGCGAGCGAATTCTTCGTAAATGGCCAGCTGTTCCTTATTAAGACCACCCGGCACTTGCCTATACGGTTCCGGAATGAAGAATCCCCAACGACTAATTGACGGATCAATGTAGGGTTCATTTGAACGGGCGATTCTGTGTCGACGACGGGCTTCCAACTGTGATTCGATGACCTTCTCGATTTCGGGAAGAGAGCGTTCTTCTGCAGCTTTTTCGACAATACCGCAGGCTGCATCCAGATTATCATTGACACACATAAGAATCAGCCCTTCGGGCATAGGCTGCTCGGAATACTCTTGCTGAATCATACGTATATAGTTTGTCATGTTAATTTTCAGAGGCTCCTTGCACGTCACCACGGCAAGACTGCCAGCCAACGCACGAACCATGGCACCAGCGGCTTGGCGAACCTTCTCCTCATCAGGCTCCATGGCGAAATCTTTCAGGATCAGCTGAGCAGTCGAAATCGAAGCAATTGTGATGGAGCGTTCTACCACAGGAGCTATGATCTCTGCAATTGCGCGTTCAACAGCAGTGTGAACGATCTGACGGAGAACATTAGGGTCAATAACCGCATTGGCCGATGGTGGATAAACAAGTATTTGATCGAGGTTAGGCAGGCTGGAAATTATTGCAGCTGGCGATATTCTCTCATTGCGACTTGCCCGATTCAGGCCGGCCAGAGACATCTCATCGAAACCCTCCAGACCTTCTGCAATGCTTGTGGCAACCAAGCCATCCTCCAATTGTGGCGGACGCTCCCTAATGCAAGTGGATGGTTCGATAGTCTTATGATCAAGCTGTAAATCTCCGCAGAGCACCTCAATCTCAAATTTGAGGATCATTTTGATCTCCGCAAAGTGATATATTTCCATTAGCAGTGCAATGATATCCATCAACCACGGATTTGGTGGCTTAAAAATGGTCGATTTCATTGCTTGCCCCAAAACTTTGCAAGTAAACGGAATGACGACGGTAAGCCGTTGAGTATCGAAGGCCTCAATGAGTAGATCTTTGAAATAGATGTTTTTATGCTTGATCGGCTTGTCCGTTGCTATAGTTAATGATCCAAGCCAGCCGCCGAGGTTTTTCAGATGAGCACGATCAGTGCTAGAGTTCAAAGTAGATTCTGCATTCAGCAGTCGAATTGCGCTAACATACGTCTCTCTCAATACCTCAGCCCAAAGAGTTTTGTCGTCAATTAGACCTAGTAATTCAAGATAAAGTTGTTGGAAATTGGGCTGCACCTTCGCTCGCTGCTCAACAATGTACGATGCGAACCATTGGTGGTGTTGGTCTCGAAGCACGTCCTGCAAGTCCTTCAACTTGGCATGTATATTCTGCTCTGAAACGTTGTTTAGGATAAAAAGGATCTTGTCATGAACGTCTTCTTCTGGTTCGCGATAGATATCCGGACGTAGTGGAGGATCAACATGGAGGGAGCGGAAGTTTCGATGCGTGCTGTCGGCACCAACAAGATCATCAACGGTACCATTGGCAAGTGCCAATCCATCCGCTAAACCGTTGACGTCTCTGTCGGTATCATTGAGACGATGACCCTGTGCACGGAGCACGTCTTCGGCTTTTCGATAGATTGCGGTTCCTTGGAGGCTTGGGACCTGGAGGAGGAGCCCACAGAAACCAGGCCACTCAGGAAGGCGGGAGACAAGCTGCTCAATTGCCTCCACGCCAAATTTATACATAGATTCGTGGGATTCATGATCTCTAACGGCGTCAAGTATCATTCCAAGACCAACTTTCAGTGGGATTCCAGATATCAACTTGAAGTTGATAATGCCCCCAAACATAACAGCCGTCTTCGATAGCGCCTCCAGTGGGTACTCATGATAGCAATGATACTCATCGATTAAGCCATGAACCATACAAGTGAAGAGGTCTTGTTCCCCAGGGTCACGGGAAGATTTATAGCGTCTCATTAGCTCCAGGATCTCTCGAAGAGAGAGCTCTTCATGGTACATCTTTCCGAAAAGGTCTTGCATTTGCTTTTCAACCTCGTCTGGAATCGCATTGCCGTTGGTGCCGTTGGCTTCGATTATATCATCAAGGCCTTCACCGTAGTTAATCAGCCGAGGATAGGCTTGTAGGCAGATACGCTGAATCGGAGTAAGATTTTCGTGGTCGGTAATATAGTCTTCTAATATCAAAAGGAGCGCGTAAACTGTTTTGACAGCCAGGCTAACCATTTGTGGAGCAGCCTGCTCTTTGTGCCGAACTCGAAGCTCATCTTCAGCCTTAATTCTTAAGAACTTTGATAACAAACCGCCCATATCCACAGGAGTTTTTTGTGCTGCACTTTTAACCCATTGTTCCAAATCGAAGGAATCTTTCCGGTGTGCTAAAGATGCCAAATCCATAGCCAAGCCGGTTGTAAATCCCAAGAGATAGTCCAACCAGCCGTGTTCAACTGCGTGCTCATAAATCAAATCTGTACATGAGGGATCCTGGGTAAATGCATGGAATAGTTGGTCCCCAACCCATTGGCGACCCAATTTCCACACACCATGGAGAGCAAACTGATAGCCTTCTTGACGTTTAGACACAAATATCATGAACGACCGAATGACGAAATTGATTTGTACATTTGTCCATGGTTGTGGAATGGCAAATGCGGAGCAGAGGAAGGTCGGCAGATCATGTTGCAGGATTGTTTTCACAAAGGCCTGGCTCTCTGGCAAGGCCCACGTTCCGGGAGTGAGAAGTATGAGATCAAAAATAGCTTTCACAGCATCAAGAGATCGAAGAGGATTGTTCTGAATTGATTCTGCCTGCTGGCGAACCATTTCAGATGCATCATCGAAAATGTCAATGGAGAATGTTGAGCGAAAACTTGGAATGTTGGAAGTATCGATATTGGAAGAGAGGAATGCGGTGACGAAAGAGAATTGAACATCCTTATTCTCCCATTCTCCACCCCAAAGACATTGGATATCAAAGTGAGGGTCATCATGTGCCACCGGCAACAAGGCGTTGAATAAGCGAATAAACTGTCGTGCATTGATTCTCAGACCTTCCTTGTCGAAAAATTGGACGATCCTTCGCCAGCTAATTGGATGAGTCGCCTGGTTTTGCTGGACGGTGGCAACCAGCAATTCGGGGGAGGATTGCTGCCAGTTTTGAGAATAGATCATGAAAAGGATGGCATTCGCAATTTGTTCTTCATTGTAGGCATCTGGTCCTGAAGCAGTAATAGCGTCGAGGACTGCATCCTTACTTGCAAAGGATCTTGGTCCGCGGCCTTGAATTTGTCGAAGGAGTGTTAATCGAGGATCTGAGAAGGCGAACATCTGAAGTGCTGCTTCAATCTCGGCTGGCACATCTGCGTCAGAAACTTGATATCGCATTCTAGCAGCGTATATAAGTTTCCGTTTTAGGTCGTCGTTCAGGTTTCGAGGAGGATTAAATATGAAGCGTTCGATAGTCAGGCCAATAAAGGATGAACTAAAATCCTTATTCGAGTCGGAAACTGCCGAGAGACTTTGGAAAAATTGGGGTACAGAGGTAGAGAGGATCGCATCAGCTGCATATTGTTAGCATTCGGCTCACAGAGTAGGAAAGAAAATTCGAAGGATACAAACCTTTTGTTCGGAGGTCTGCTCTGCTTACACTCTTGAATGCCAATATTAGTGCAACCTTAGAAATTGGATCTAGTTTAAAATGATCCACAAAGGTTGATAGATCAAAATCACGAAATATGTCGCCTTCTGAAGTGTCAATTGTTTCGGCAATCTTCCTAGCTTGGTCCATGTCCTGGGAAACCTTTTGCATCTCTTGAACCAACAATGGGTAATTTCCAGCATTTTCGACCACCTTATTGGTGCCTGGAAAGATTTGAGGTGCGTTGCCAGATAGAAGGCGACGGAAATACTTTGAGAACACTTCCATTCCGTTCGAGCCAACAAGCTACAACGCTTCAGTTAGTGCATTCCACCGACAAAAGTCACATGCAAAACAAGGAAATGCTTACTTTGTGAATTTGAGCAGCTTTAGTTTCCCACTTTTCTTTCCCCTCTTTTTCGTTGATAGAATCCAAAAGGAGGAACACCTGGGCTACAGAAATTTTGGAGAGAGATGACTGACTGGAACCCACAGCGCTAGCTGCACTCGCTGAATTTGGTTTATCGGAAGCAAATCCAGTCGGCGAATTGACGCCAGTTAGACGTGGAGAGAACGTGGCACCCCTTGACACACCTGAACCACCTCCACCGCCGCCTCCCCCGCCGCTACCGCCTCCTCCGGTTGATGAAGTCGCCGAGGTGGCCAGATGCGATGCAGAGGAAGGGGTAAGAGCTCGAAATTTTGGAGATGTGAGTGATTGACCGGATTGTTGCTGATGCTGTTGCTGGGCGCCAGCTTGAAGCGCGGCGAAAGACGCGGGAGTGGACGCGGGAGACGGGTTGTTCCGGCCCACGGCAAAGCGACTCGTGGAGCTGAGAACAGCAGAGAAGGAGGATGTCAGCGGGGATGTGGCAGAGGCACTTGGGGCAGGGCTATGTGACTGGGGAGGACGGCGGGACGGAGATCCGCTGGTGGAAGATGAGATGTTGGTCGCAAGCGGCGTGAGGCCACGACGGATTGGGTTTTGAGACGCAGCAGTACCCCAAGGTGACTGCTGAGACCTTACAGGTCGGGAAGCAGAGGGTTTGTCGGTGCCAGAAGCAATCGAGGATTTGGCGGAATGAGAAGGAGAAGGGAAGGTCATCTAGGAGACGCGATCATCTGATCTGGTTGTGGAGAGAAAATTGTGCGAATCTGAGGAGGTCTGGGTTAAGACTGCGAATAACAAGGTGAGAAAATAGTATTGGCTGATAATTTTGATCGCTACTGAATGCCTTGCTTGCTTTAGTGGTACGGAAACAGCATAAAGAGGGAGAGCAGAGCAGCTGGGCCTGAGAGGACGAGAAGTGTATGGCTAAGTGATGAAGTGGATGGTTGTTGGAGGTTTTCAGGTCAGACCAGCTGGGTTTGGGCGCTACAGTCGACTCAATGGGCCAGTCTGGCAAGTGTCTGGGCGAGCCACCCACTCAACCAAGAACTAGAGAACCACACACAATACTCAGTACTCTGTATCAGTTTTGGATCAGTTGAAACACCATATGCTGCTCAATCTGTGAATGTAAACAGTCCATCATATATATACAGAAACATTGGATGCAAACATTCCGCAAGTTGAGTGCATACTCTTATTTTATCCTGTCTCTATCAACTACAAAATGTGTGATGGACCTGTGCCTGTCCTCCTGCAACATGGCTTTGTTAACTATTAATGGCCATTGGCTATGAAGCTATAATTTTGGCATGATCGCTATTATATAGCTAATTAACTACTGCTCTGGTAATCTATGCAGAGAACTGTCTGGCTGCCCTAGCTAAAGCCATCAACTAGGCCATAATACTTACTAGGAACGGATTAATCCCTCCGCTCATCCTCCCTAGAGTACAGAGTAGTCCGTAGATTATTCAGTTTGCGCAGAGGGTAGGAATCCGCTCGTTTGTCCAACCTCCCGACTTCAGCAGCCCTGCGATTAACCTCCGCAACTCCTGCGTGGCGGATGAGCTACGACATCAAGGCGCCAGGTCCTCCGTACCGATAAGCTCCAATGCAGCGTCTCCATGGAAGATCGGAGCTGATTTCGCCACTCCCACTGATTAGTATATTATACGATTTGATTGGGCGGTTTCCAGGGCCTGAAGTGTTCATAAAGAGTTACTTCAAAAGGGTTTGGATTTCACTGATGCGACGCCATCCGCATTAGTGTCACCACCAGTTCCGGAGCTCTTCGAATTTAACTCTCGCGCGCTGCATTTATCTTAGGCTTACTCCGTACGGAGCATTCATATAAGCTGAGTATCCTCGAGAAAATCCAAAGTTGCTCTCGTTATAATATCAGATTTCAACTCGTGTCATGCCGGCCCTATGGGATCGAAAAGCATCACGGTGTCGTCTCTACCCAGAATATTTTCATAGTGGGAATTTTACATATGCGTTCCACAAGTTTGATACCTCCAAATATCACCAACTATCCAATCAATCTCACCAAGTTCACTGTAGAGATCTCCTATGTACGGGGGATTTTCGTATATATCGCTGCTGGCAGGCAAGTGTCTGGGCTGTCTCGGCTCAGGTTGGGCTTGGCGTTCCGTAAAGGGATTAGCGGCTCCGATGGCGCGCACAGCAGAGCTAAATCCCCACTTGCCATCCAAGCTCCGCGACGGCAGTGCGTCGGTTGCCCCGAGAAACAAAATATAAACACCAAGGATCCCGAGATACTCTGTCAGCCGTGTGCTCCCGCAGACAAGGAGGGAGTGTGTAATTCCTCTGCAATTTACTGCTTATTGTCTATATTTTATTTTCCCTTTTTTTTTTCCTACAATTATTCTTTATTGACTTGGGGGTCGATTGGTTTCCTACATTCTTTTACCCTGTCCCACGCGGCCTTGTTGTCTGGGAAGACGAGGCCCGTATATATCTGGGTTCAAGCGTACTCCACTTCCACGGGTTCATCTTCAGAATGCCTGGAACAATTACGGGAATTCCGTCCGTTTCTTTATCCTGTGAGTCGCAGAGCGTGGAAAGCGGTGTGGGAGCTGGACGGACCTTTTCAGCTAACAGTTTGCGAACTCCAGTCGCGAACAACTTCTGGGGGAAAGATGATGCCGGCGTGGGTCCTATGATGGAACGCATGCACAATGCGAAAGCAACGTGCGATGAACTCAAGTCGTTCTATAGTAGTATGTCGCCTCCTCTGCGTTCAATTGATATATATGATGTAGCCGCCTGTTGACACTATCGACCATGAAGCTCGCGCCGCCATTGAAGATGAATATGCTCGGAAATTGCTGGCGCTTTGCAGGAAGCCATTGGGCTCCTGTGAATCAGGTACCCTCCGTGCTTCGCTCGATACAATGAGAGGAGAGACGGAGGCGATAGCGAAGACCCATAGTGCTATTGCATCGCAGATGAAAAGCGAGCTAGAAGAACCTCTTGCTGCGTTTGCAGGGGGGATGAAGGAAAGAAGAAAAATTGTGCAATATGGTATTGAAAAGTTATTGAAGACCAAAATACATCAACTCCATGCCGTCAACAAGGTATGACATCTGTTGAAACTACCTTTCGGTGAGACGAGATACTGATGAAATTGCAGTCAAGAGATCGATATGAACAAGACTGTCTCCGTATTAAAGGATATTTGGCCCAAGGACATATGGTTATGGGTCAAGAAGAACGGAAAAACAAAGCAAAACTTGAGAAAACCCAGATACAACTAGCCTCAAATAGTAGTGAATATGAGGCCGCCGTGAAGATCCTGGAAGAGACAACGGGCCGCTGGAATAAGGAGTGGAAGGCTGCTTGTGATGTGCGTAACTTCTTTAAATTGATGCGATATAAAACTGACTATTTGAACAGAAATTCCAAGATCTTGAGGAGGAGCGATTGGATTTTACGAAGAGTAGTCTTTGGACTTATGCAAATATAGCATCTACTGCTTGTGTGAGCGATGACGCGGTACGCTCACCTCCATTACGACGGGTGTATGGTAAACTACTAACAACCTTTTAGTCTTGCGAGAAAATACGAGTTTCTTTAGAGAACTGCGAAGTCGAAAAAGATATCAGCATGTTCATTAAGGAGAAGGGTACCGGTCAAGAGATACCTGACCCTCCAAGATATATCAATTTTTGCCGTGGGGATCTAAACGACACAAGCTCGGAGACATCAGAGGAAGACGGTTATTCGGTTGCCCAATTTCAACGCACAATCAATCCTGCCTTTAGAAGCTCTTCTCCACAACCTTCCACCTACGAGTCCCATCATGACCCGGATTCTGACCTTGCAAGGAGAATGGGCCACGGAGACTCTGGAACCCCGTCTAGTCGAGAAACAACAGTGACTCCACAAAAGCCTGTACAGTCCGTTCAACAGCAACAATCGATAAACCCACCTCAGCCAGCTGAGCCAGCTCAGCCAGTTCAATTCGTTCAACCAATTCAACCGATTCAACCGATTCAGCAAGTTCAGCCAGTTCAGCCAGTTCAGCCAGCTCAGCCAGTTCAGCCAGCTCAGCCAGTTCAGCCAGTTCAGCCAGTTCAGCCAGTCCATTCAATGCCGCCAGTGCAACCGTTGCAACCGGTGCACCCAGTTCACTCAGCGCAGCAAGTGCAACAAGCACATCAAGAACACCAAGTACAGCAGACACATCAAGCACGGCAGACACATCAAGTACGGCAAGGACACCCAGTACAACAGGCACACCAGGAACACCAAGAACAGCAGGCACGTCAAGTACGGCAAATACAGCGAATACATCAGGCAGAACAGCCACCGCGATCACAGAGGGTGCAGAGAGCACAGCCAATGCAACCAGTCCAGCCAGTAGAACATCCTCCACCCATGGATCTCAGGCGTGGAAATAACCTTCCTCCAAACTACGAGCCAAGCCAGCATGGAGATATCCCAACAATCCCCCATAATGAATACCCTACGGATGGCATGACAATGTTCTGTCGAACGGGCCCCCCATCAGAGAGGAGTTCCACTATCAGCGCTAACCGCCCCTCTAGCCGGGATTCGCAGTCACATAGTGATATCTCAAATCCAACTTCTTTCTCGAGCATTGAACCGCCCAGCGGGAAACAATCCCCAACAAAGCCTGTCAATGGTGTTCCAATGCCAGGCATGACAAATGCAAAACAGCAAGTTCAAAAAAAAAGGAGTGTCTTCTTTAGCAATAGTCCGTTCAGGAGAAAAAGCAAACACGAGAAAGAACGCCAGAACTCTCAGCTAGCTGCTCCAACACAGCCAAGTCGCAATACGTGGGCGAGTTCAAGACAAACAAAGGCTGCAAGCCAAATATATCAACGACAGCCAGTTTTGGACCCCGAACCTCGAACCGCAAGCCCAGAACCAGTGGACCCTCGTGCCAATTTCCAACTCAATGTTGGGAATAACGTCTTTGATGTTGCGTCACCAGAGTCTACTGCAAGACGAGGCTCCCAGGCTGCCACAAACAAGGACAGTGGCCTGGATCCCATTGCTCAGGCCCTTGCGGAACTGAAGGGCGTCGGGAAGCAGTCTTCCGTTCGAGTTTCGGCTGACCGATACCATGGAGTATCGTCTCCAGCTGCCGCTGTCGCCGAACCCACCCAACCTCCAGCTCCGATACAGGATAGTAGCAAATCTAGTGCAAAACGCGGCACACCCCCACCAGCTTACAATGCTACAGCACCAGTTAAACGGCTGGATGCACCTCGACCGGCTTTTACGTCGGCCCAGATGCAAAAAACGACCCAGAAGTACGTAGGACAGACGCAGAGCTTATTCAGCAGCTCCACCCGGTCACAGCAGAATACTGCCCCTGTTCAAAACACCCAGCAGACTAAACCGGCCTCTCGCGCCGCGTCCCCTGCGCCTAGACGAAGTGCCAGCCCTCAGCCAATGGCTAGCACAGAACGCCGTCAATCCCCATACAGCATCAGCAAGCCCTCTCCAAGTTCATATCAATCGAGCAGCGTGAACAGCCGATATCGACAGTCACCTACTACCACTCCCACAAAGCCCGTGGTGGAGCGTGAGTACTCTCCGCAACCGCGCCCACAACGAGCGTCTCCCAGCCCTGCGCCCCGTGCACCCAACATTGCTCTACGTGCTTCTCCAAGCGTTGTACATCGTGCTGTCTCTCCTCAGCCGCAATTTATGAGGCCTGAACGCCCTGCTAGCTCGAGTGGTATGGAGCTTCAGCTTTCCACCAATCAAATGGAAATGCATGCCGGAGGTCATATGGGAGGAGAGTATGGAGGGCATTCCCGATCCTACAGCCACATGGAGAACACGCACCGTCCCATGAGCACGTACTACGGTTCAGCGTCCGATGTCGGGTCTAGTGTTCAGCCGTACCGTAGTAGAAGCAGAAGCATAGCAGCACCCGACGGAAGACCGTTAAGTAGAGACGGTCGTCCAGTTTTACATTTTGGTGAGTTCTTCCACTCTCATGATGTTTTTCTTCCTGCTAAATTTTTCTAGCACGAGCGATGTATAGCTATACCGCTGCGATCCCCGAAGAGCTAGGTTTTATGAAGGGTGATATTCTTGCTGTACTCCGCCATCAGGATGATGGTTGGTGGGAGGCGGAAGTTACTGGAAACCCTACTCGTCCTGGACTCGTACCAAGCAATTACTTGCAACGCTGTTAGACGATGTTCATGATGCCGATGATAATTCTCTGCGATTCGCATGTACAGATATGACTTTCTAGTGGTTATGATTCTTTGGCAAGCCTGGTGTCGTGCTTTGGAATTTTTGAGACTTTCAGCGTTTCTGGATTTGATTTTAGGGGCTACTATTTCGTTTCCATGTCGAGTCAAATTTGCATTCTCTTTTGTCATCTGGTATCTTGTTTCCTTTTTGCCTTCTCACGACCTTCTCTGGTTTCCATACCCATGCTCACTTGCTAAACTGTCACTTTCAATTGTGTCCTGCATAAGCTAATTGATATCTACCCCTTCACCATGTGATGTTGACCATCAGCCTTTCTTCTGTTTGAAAATGCTTTTTAGCCTTCTTTGTGTTTTCTCTTTCAATATTACACAGTGATGTTTAATGAGAAATGGTACATATGGAACTCATTAACTCTTTGAGCCCAATCTATTCATTTTATAAGCACCAACATGACCTGTCGATTCCCTAGTACGCAACCACCCCCAGCCCAATACAAACAATGTGGAAGAGAAAAGAATTGAATAGCCTAATGCTTTTAAGTAAGTCCTCAATTCCACCACTGTTGTTTCCTTGAGAAAGGTGTTGCCGGGTCCCGAGGCGAATGAGAAGCTCACTTTGATAAAGGCAGGCTATCCGGATGGAAATATACAGACCATATAGAGGGCAAAAAGAGCCAGAAATTTATTAGGGCTAGAATAATCATACAGCTTGCTCTAGGGGTGCCTATCATGACATTTTCAATGTACATTTCACTCCTGACCTTTCGAAAATTCCCTGGTAAGGGGGAAAAGAAACTGCTGGCATAAGGTATATATGTGCAAGTAAGGAAGGCCAAAAAAAAAAAAAAAAGGCTCAAGGAAAAGGCATATATTATACGGGGAAAGCCTCCTGGGCAGCTGCAAATACGAAGAGGGGAAAGACTCATTTCATTCAGCGTCAACGAAAGAATTGGCTAGGCGGCCGAAGAAAGGGACTTCGTAGTGGTCGAGAGTGTCAACTGCATCTGTCAGAAACCGATACAGCCGGGATTAAGCGCTGGACTTTTTCTCTTTTCGAGACTTACCGTCACGGTACGCGTGGGCGGCGAGGAACGCGATTAAGCATATGTCAGCGATGAAGAGGAGCCATGAGATTATGCTCGTCCAGGCGAATAACATGTGGATTATCTGTATCGAGAGTAGTTAGTCGTGATGATCAGGGTCGAAGGGACCGTTCTCGAGTATAGCGTACGAATATCGTGGTAAACAGCATGCCCGACTGCCAGGCATGAAACCTAGAAGAGTATTCTCGTCAGAGTTGTTTGCAATTCGAAGATATTTGTGCAGGTAGTAGAACATCTGCTTATACGTACCGTACATAATCGCTCTTATGCTCCACTAGCAGCAAAAACACTCCGCCCGCAGGAGGAAGTAATAGATATGCCAGCATTGCCTCGACGCCCAGCGGGAGTGGGAGGCTTGTTTCAAACGCGCTCACATCCGACCTGCCGCCTTCAACGTACCGCTCACTTCCGAAACCCGTGCTCACATTGTGCTCCAAACTGCTTCTTCCTTGGCCGGCAAAGGCGCTCGGAGAGGGAAGGTTTGACGGAACATTTTGTACGGGGGGTGAAGATCGGGCGGACTTGGTGCGGTTGGCGTCTATGATGGAGGGAGAGAGCGCGCGCTCGACGTCTGGAGATTCATCTTGGTACGGTGCGAAGTTCATGATTTAATCGATATTTTGTGAGTAATTTTCTATTATTTTTCCATGGGTGATGCCAGGCTCTTTAGGCCGATGGTCACATATGTGTGTATGCGGAGGATATCGTCGTCTGTTTTGATGCTGCATCTTGCGGAAGTTGTCTCCGCGCGTCAGTACTCACTCTTCTTGGCAGCGCGAAGAAAGCTGACGACAGGATTATCATTCGCAGGGGCTTTGCCGGCTACGTTCTTCAGCGAATATAAGCATTTGTTCTATGAATGTAGAAAATTATCATCATATTGAAGCCATTTCTATTCTATGCGGTTACATATTATGCACTCAACTGGGGGTATCTTAAACATAAATCAATAAAGTATTGCATCGACGAACAGCATCAAGTCCTGCGAAGTTGTCCCCGGCTACTTGTGACGCTCGACCCTCGAGTTGTAGAAGACAATGGTCTTCTTAAGCCAGTCGTCCCTCTAACCGTAGTAGCTCTAGTTGTACCTCGTAAGGCCGTCTGTGAATTCTGCGTTGTACTTGAAATGGAGGGATTACGTCCAACCACCCGGGCTCTTCCTCTCGATGATGTTCCTCGTAATCCACGAGATGTTGCAGCTGCGGCTTGCGCCCTCTTGCGCTCCTCCTCTGCTGCTTTTCGAGCTAGCGCTTCTTTTCGTTGCTGTTGTTCCGATTCCCGTCGTTCTGCCTCTTGCTGCTTTAAGACAGCCTCGTTTTCCATGTCGGCGATATCCTGCGTCGCTCCCTGCCAAGAAGGGTTCAGAATGAGTCTTTGATTGTGTTCTGTCTGGGAGAGAATCCGTGTCCACGTGTCGAGAAGGGTGGAGGCCGAGCCAACAGTTCGAGAAACATTCTATTACGCAACTGGTGAGCAAGAGTCAGGACATAGCGCGCAAAGGGGGCTAATTACCCCCATGTTGTCTTTGGCGCGGTCTAAGCTCTCGATAGTACCCTCGATTACTTTATTGATATCACGTAGTACATGTAATTCCGCTTGCAGGGCAATTTCTCTCTCCTCAGGCAATGGGACAGACTGTCCAGAGGGATTTTCTGAAGACTTCCCAATGGTGTGCTTTGGTCGTTGTCTCGAGCTCGGGTGCCAGAAATCCTCCTCCGAGCTTTCCTGAAGGTGTAGACTTTCCATATCATCGGTAGGAGCGGCCATGGTGATGCCTTCACGCCACAGGATCACCCAAAAAACGTTTAAAGGAGCCGGAAGTTAGTTAGTTATCCGTAACCAATTCAATGGCCCTAACAGGCTGACTTCGCGGAGAGCGGCTGGGGTATGATACTAGTTAGTACTCGCGTGTGTCCTCCGTACTTCCCTGGACTTTTGCCTACCGTCGGTCTCCCGCCGCGCTAATTTGATTTTCTGGCTAAAGCGCGGCTGATCAGGCTTAAGCTTAACCGTATTTGGCCTAGAATGTGGCTGGTAACTTGCTTCTTGGCGCACCCAACCTCCGCGCGTCCAACAAAAGCCGGGACATCGTCGAAGCTGATGACTTCACGCCCAAACTCCCCCAAATACACTCTATGCCTGCTGTTGGCACTTGGATCTCAATTCTACGAACACTCCGTACATATTCCATACAAATAACTTCTGTCTAGCCTACCCACATTCGACGTTTTGGAGAACCTAGCGGGAATATTGATGCAATTGACATCGCTTTGAAACCGACTCCGTGTCTCTGGGTTATTGGTCTGCCGTGTCTGCCACTGCACGCTTTGAACGCACTTCCCCCAGCATCTCAGGATTTCGGCTTGATTGTGTCGGTTTCGATATTTACGAGAATCCTGGACCATCCTGTATTCGTGTTGCTACCTTGCTGCCTAAATACCCGTCCATTGGCAGCTGGACACCTGTTTACTGGGGCAACCATATCGTCCGAGTATTTGGAAGACTGTGTGTCTTGCTGTTTGGGGTCTGGAAGACCTAGGATAAGAGCTGCACTGCAGCAAAGGATTGCTTAACTGCCTACTGATTTCTCAAGGCACATTCATGGGAGCACTTTATTACATTATTTCCACAAGCCCCAACTCAACGTCTTGCGATCTTCCCTAGCTTTCGTAACTCTTATAGAGTAGTAAGTCCTTCCGCATCGCCAGGCAATGTTATGTTGAGGGTTTAAGCTAACCGGATACTTTTAGCTCGTCAATTCTCAAATATACTCACCGCATATACAAGGAGCCATCGCGGGAAAGTAAAATGGCAACCACTCCCCCCCCTCGAGGAAGACTACGTACTCCTCCCGCTCCCACCCATGAATGCGGATATAATGGGTATTCCCCCTACTCTGGCTCACCACGACGATCAAAGCGCCTAGCAACCCGCAATGATATCCTTCATGTGCGAAATCAAGATGGGGAGTCTCATGTTTCTAGTGATAGACTTCATTCTGGTAAATATAATTTTTCGACGAAAAACATTGCTTGTGAGAGCTTCATTTGCTGACACTATCTCAGATTCCGACGGAAACTCCCATTATCTCTGTCATGACTCTGACGCCGCTTTATCCGCCCCCAACTCAACCAAACAGTCGCCTTCATCCAATTCTGATATACAACACAACTCTCTCTTACCTTACACTAAAAACAGCGCTAGTCGCGTGACAAAGAAAACACTCCCCTCGCTTCCATCCTCACACAAATCTTCAGATAATACACTCCAGCAGACCACTATGGCTGTAGGGATGCTTCCAACTCCTGCCAAAACTCCTCGAAAGAAACACATTCCGGATTCTGGAGCTATTGCACGAGACTTATTCACAAATCGTGCTCGAGCCATGGACTTAGAGCGACGTTCCCAGAGGCGCCCTAGAGGCAAAAAGTACAGTGGATTTTCATTGGAGAGTTCTCATTCCAACCCGGAAGAAAATAACGGTTCTGTGGAAATCTATACGGACGTCAGAGACCGTATTCCAACTCTGAATTCCTCAGAGGATAATCCCTTTATTAGCCGTCCAGAAGAAGCCAAAACTCCGAAAGTCGAGGAATCTGATGGCAAAGCGAAGAGAAGAAAGGTCAACGAGGATGACATTGATCGCGATCCCGCAGTGGATGAAATGGTAAACCGTGATGACGGCGTGCTCTGCGTTTTGTAAGTTGCTTGGTTGACCTTCATTTATGAGAATATTGCTTACATGACTATTTCGATAGCCGAGGAAAGAAGATCTTTCGCAAATTCAAGCCTAAAGATATTGACGAGTCTGATGGTGACAACGATCCTGGCCTTTTAGGCTCCATGGATGATATTCCTTCTAGCCGAACCCGCCATTTTGCTCGGTCATCTATCAAACCACGAGTTTTGTTCCCAACCGCGGATCAGCTACGCACTCGTGCAGCGAAAGCAAAAGCTGCCAAGGTGAGCGAACACGCGACAAACGGAAAAGAAGAAAAAATGGAAGAACAATCAAATGCATCGAGCCAAAGCGAGGCAACTGACGCGAATAATGATCCTGTTACTCCCCCGTCTAAGATGACGCGTCTTGCCACGCCTTCAACTCCTCTCGCTTCGGGCCGTTCCCTTCGCTCTCATACCAAGAAGTCCGAATCTGAGATTACTCCAGATACTTCTAGCAGTCCGACTGGAAATCGGTTTAGCCCTTTTGATCGTTGGACACGTATCAAAGCTCGGTCTTCTCCATCCGGTAAAGGAAAGAAGCGAAGCTCCAGCTCTCTCGGACACGATACTCCCCACCAATCCAAGAAAGTTCATCAGTCTAAGTGAGAACAGATTTACAACATTTACCATAGGTCACAAAAACGTGGCGCAACTTTTTGGAGTGGGAATATTCCATCCTTCTTGATTCTTTTCTCTCGAGTTCCTTCTGAAAACCAGATTCGATGATCTTTCAATGTTTTATTTCTCCTCTCTGTTTTCCATGATACGATGACGATGACCTGTGCTTTTTCCTTTACTCTCTTCCATTTTCTTTTAAGGACCTTTGTCACTTTTTGATGTTTCCTGGTCCTTACCATTTAATTTTTTTTTCTCCCTTAAAAAAAAAAAAGAAAAAGAAAAAAGAAAAAAGAAAGAAAAGGAAAAAGGGTGCATAGAGTGATCACAGTGTTATTTCCTGTGCTCTTTTTGAGATGGACCTTTGTGGTTGGGGTTGACAAGGGTATGTATTCCTGCTGATGATCACCTGGCTCTTCTTTTCTTTTCATACCTAGTTTCAATCAATGATCCATCGGTGGTTCTGAAACAACAGGCGGGTTGGGTGGAATTTGGTCGGTGGTTTTTTTTCTTTATTAAACCCATCTGTATGTGTCTTTTGTCTTTTCTGGTGCAGTGCGGTTTGAATTTACAATCCTGGGTTAGCTAGGATAAGAGATACTAGGTCTAGGTCAGGTAATAAGGCTTCATTAACTACTCATTCATGTTTTGTGTGCATTAGATGCGCATCCAGTGGCTCAAATGTGTTCAACATTGGACTATCCAAATCCTAAGGATCAACTTAACAAGAATGAAGGCTCAATTCAAAGACTTATTAGTTTTTAACCTCTCTGCGTGTCTGATCAATGCATCATCACAATCATTTAACAAAAAGAGAACTGCCATCAATGTCTGAATATGCACCAAGTCCCCGTTGGCCCGCCGGCCAATTGCCGCATCAATGCTAGCCCACCCGCGAAAGCAATTGAAAGGCTTAAAAAGTCGCACATATGTATATACAGGAAGAAATAAAAGGACACTATTCTGCCACAATGTCTAGGTCATCGTCTGAATAGGTGCCCGGATTTGTTCCCAAACTCTCTCTGCCAGCTTCGCGAATCCCCTTCGCAGTAATAAACCTTGTCTTCTTTACAGGCGACGACTTCCCATTGTTATTTCCGGCACCATGACTAGTTTCAAAATCTCGTTTTCTGATCCGACCTAGCTTGATATTGCTTGCGTGTCTAGCCAGTTTATCAAGTCCGAGTGCTGCGCGGGCGGATTGAGAATCATCGTTTTTGGCAGTTTGGGAAGACGAAGACGCGGCTGGTGGTCGAGGAGTGTTATTATTATGCTGAGCACGAAGGTATTCCGAGCCTACACTTTTCAATTCTCCGAGTCGCTTTGCTACATTGCGTTCTCTTTCCTCGTCTGCAATCCGTCTTCGAAACCTGTCACTCTGATTTTCACCACGGCGATGGAAAAGGTGACCACCAGCAGCGAATGGGTTATCAGCATCTATTAAACCAGCGGCTGAACGATGGCCAAAGGGATTTCCACCCGGATCTCCTGAGACTGAAGGCGTAACGTAGTATGTCGATCCGGTTGACCGATCATACATAGCTCCCTCGTTCCTGAGACCGTTCTCTTGTCCGCCACGACCGCGACCTCCCCGGTTCCCAAACCGGCCTCCTCGAGGACCCTGACCAAAACTAGGACCGCTATTAACTTCCATCCTTTTTGCGGTTGTCTTTCGTAGCTGGATATCTACATGGAAATCGCAGAATTCAGTCTTACGACCGTCAACCCAGGCATCGCAGACTTTTCCGTCTTTCCTCACAGCTTTGCAGAAGCTGATATCCTGGGCAGTTCCAATTTCTAGGATCGTATCTTCTGAGGAAGATATGGTGAGACTGAAGGCATTTGTGTGGATCTTGTTAGGAGGTGGAGGCATAATAGATGGATTCAATATTGCAACAAGAGTTCCTGGGGCCATTTTGTAATATTTTGGGAACGCCGTGGAAAATAGAAAGAGATCAATACTCCACTTCAAATCGGTTAACGTGAGAACCATGTATTTACTCGAATTGTTAAGACCGTCGTCGTACGGATCTTTCTCCTTGCCTGATCCTGATTTCTTTTCCTTGTGTTCCCTTGGAGTAGACTTGGAAGCCACTATGCCAAACACCACATAGTCGCCATCTGTGTCAGGTAGTTCAAATTCGGGACCTTTAACGGTCCTGAGCAAATCAGGGACGCGTAGTCTCTTCATAGTCTCTGTTTTTCGGGAGACGTACGAGTGTGGTAAGATGCGATTGGAAAGGTGAAGACCAGAGAAGGGCTCGAACTTGGAAGGGTCAGGGGTTCTCTGATCATAATCTGCGTGTTCTTCTTTAGTTTGGGGAACGGAGTTGCTTTGCCCCAAAGTATTCGTATCCCTTGATGAAGGTCTATCAGAACTTGTAGAAACTGTCCCGCCTCGACGTAGCGGGGATCGTGGGCGGTTGTAGGCTTGCATGATGTCAGCTCGACTGAACTTGTGATTTTCCTTTTCCGTAGTTTGAGGGACGTTCGCTTGGCTTGCCGCCTTCTCAGCAGCCGCCTTGAACCCTTCCAATTCCTTCTTATCCACCGTGAAGCCAGTGCTCCGACTTCGTGCCACGCTATGAGCTTTCTCCCATTTGGCTTTGTCGAGTGACTTGGTCTCACGAAGTCTTTCGCTGAAGCTTTTAATTTTTGGAGAGTCACACGCCGGAAAGCTCTGCGATACCATCGTAGAAGGACCCGCTCGAGAAGACGAACTCGGTCGGGTGACACTAAAAGAGCTTCCCGGTCTGGCAGAATCCCTGGATGCTGGTGGCCGCCTCAGAGACACCTCGCTCCCCTTTAAACCCTTATCAATGCCCAGGACAACTCGTCTTGGGGATATGGGATCTCTTGAAATGGCCGACTTTCTTATTGGCGACAGAGGTACTTGAACATCGTTTGCATTGTTCGAATCTTCTGCCCTCCTTGTTCTCTCCCCGAGAAATGGCCCTCCAACACTCGACTCGTAGGGTCCTCCGCGACCACCATCACCGTCCACGTCGGCGCGCGTAAGCTTCGATGTTGTCCCATTCTGCTGTTTTAACCTTTTTAATTTCAGTCTGGCCTCAATTGCTGCAAGCTTCAGCTGTAATGTCTCCTCATCATCGTCGTCATCAACAGCATACTCAGTATGCTCGTCCAACAGTTCGCTGGCTTTGCTTTTGCTAGGACTTGCTAGGTTCGCACGAGCAAGGTGTTTTCGTCTCTGTATTTCTTCAAACTTTCGACGTCCGCCGGGCGAGCTCACGAGAGCATCATGGGGAGATTTGGGAGGCCATGGTATCTCGGCCACTGGCTCTGGATGTCAGCGGGGTCAAACGAGGGGTAGATAGCAAAGAGCATACTTGTGGGCATGTTTGCTGTGAAGTAAAGGCTTTTATGACCCAGTGATTTTCATGGCGACCAAGATAAATATCATATCCACAAATACCGTGTTATATCCGAGTTGATTACGGAGTAGTGTGACTAGCTCTAGCTGTGCCTGTGATGTTTCCTGACGCGCTGCAATCCTCAAACCAAACAGGCATAAGATTTGAGAACAGATTTGGTTCTTCGGTCAGCGCGCTCTCCTTCCTTAAGAGAATGGCATTACTTGTAAGAGGCTGCTGCTCGTATCCGATGGGAGTCCAGGTTCCCCTGCATCTTGGTTGAATTGAGGTTGATGAAACGCGACCAAGCGCGTGCATTTCGCGTCTCCGGACCACACGATCTGCGATCCTCGAAGTCTGTCTTCCCAAACAAACAAGGACATCGACGCCCAATCGAACTATACTTTCAGGCTTGAATTTTTGAAGTTGAATGCGGAGTATTGAATAATTCAATAAATGCATTGTACTTAATCATGAGAACCCGATCCTCGGCGCCAGTGCCCACCCAAACTACCAGCGTCTCAGCAGCACATTCGACGACTGCTCAACCCCAAAAGCAACCAAAAACCCTTGTCCTTCCCACCGGTGCATGCGAAGACGCCCGGTTTGTGCTTCTTGAAGAGCCGAGAACAGGCGCTAAAAGCCGCTACTACTTCTGTCCGAAACTTGGCCTCTTTGAATTTACTTTGATCGCACCACCAGCGTCAACTCCTAGAAGCATTCTGTTCGTTCAACACCCGCCAGGGGCAGAAACGGAGACCAATGGTAGCTCAGAGGGGATAAAGCCATCTAGGCAGCCCCAAAATGAGTTGCAAAGCGCCGAAAAATGTTCAGCTACACAAGAAAATGGATTTACATCCAGAGTAGCAGAGCTCCTCGTTGCTACACCCATAGACGTAATGTTCTTCCTTCTGCCTATCCTCGCTCCATCGCCGAATTCGAAGTCGTCGCGGCGATTATTCCAGCCTCTAGACGATGTGCTTGATGCCCGAGAAGACTTGTCAAAACACCTTCGAAATATCTTGCTGGACAAGAGATTTAGACCACAAGTTGAACATAGAATGAGCGCGATATGTGATATGGTTGAGGCAGGAGAACCAATGTTCCGAATTAGCGAAGACAAGTTGGTCACAGAACTGTTGTCCAAGGCGCAAAGAATGGCAAGAAGTGGACTGCCACCTAGCATGGAGGAGCGATTCGTTCGGCGAGCCTTGGAGCTCCCAATTTTGAGTATCAGCAAAGAGAGGACTTCAGTGACCACTGCAGCTGAAGAGGTAACTGAAAGCAAAGAGAATTCATCACAAAACGGCATGGAGTCCCAAGTGTCAGTGAACACTACTGCATCGTCAACGACGGCGACTACAGATGTAGTGTCGTCCGCTTCAATATCAAGTACCTCGACACCACCTACAGAATTGAGCCAAACGCCTCTCCAAAACGACAATGCATCCCCTAGCACCGACTTAATCCAACTCCTTCGCATTCGCACAGCACTGCAATACATCCAATCATCTTATCTACCTCCCCATCTCTCCGCCAAAGTCGACGAAATACTCGCCTCTCCATCCAGCCCTAAAGACTTCACCACCCTTACAGAACACCTAAAATATATTGCGAAAGTCCGCGCAGAGGAAGCAGCGTCACGCTCTCTGTACGACAACGTAAGTCGCAAACGTGGCCTGAACGACGAGGAGGCAGAAGCTGCGGCGGAAAAGAGACGGAAGCAAGACGAAGAAGAGAAGAAGAAGAAAGCCAAAGAGTCACGAGGAGTGCGGGAGTTGAAAAAAGTGAATATATCCGGGATGAAAAAATTGAGTGCTTTTTTTGGAAAGAAATCTTGATCGGCAAGTTTGCGTCGACGCCCCGGTTTTGGGGGATGCGTTCGGTGCTATTTAGATGGGCTATACTCCGCATAGCATGTTGGCTATATATAACCTCTGCGATGGATTCTTCCCAAGAGACTGAAAGAAAATTGATTTTTTTGAGGCCAGATGAGGGTGAGGGTAGTGACTGTTGGAATGTTTTATTCCATCTAGCTACTTCCAGGCAGGCGGCTTCAAAGGACAACAGGTAGTCCGTGCCCTCCCGCAAAGAAAAACCTTGTTTCACACTGATATCCTTGTCTGGACAGATTCCCCAGGTCGTAATTTTTATCTATTAGTATCAGTGTCTGTGGCCTTAATGCTGCGGAGTGTGTGATTCCTCAATTCAGTATGGAACATATCTCCTTCGTGGCAGCATCTCCTCTCCACAAGCACCTTAATCT